GTAGTAGTCTTGTGTCAAAATTTAAGCAGAATACCCAAATTTTCCAAGTTATAGTAGAAATAAGGATAGCGGACAGACGGACAGTCAGACCAAAAAAACCCGCCCACAGCACTGTCGGTAACCAGGGCTGCGGATTGTAGCGTTCATTTTCGAAAATTTGCCGCGATTACAATACTTCCAACTTCCTCGCCTGTGGAGTAGGAAGTAAAAGCAACTAGTTGGGTTGTTTCGTTCGAACAGCCATTTAGTCAGGCCTACGGATGTTGGTAAGCAGCTTCATATCGTAAACAGATGCTTCTTGGTCAGTAAAAATATTTAACAACTCTCATGAGACTCCCAAGTAGAGAGAAGAAAACGGGAAGCGTAGGCGGAAAACAAGTAACTAGCGCAATGACGGATATGCTTAAGGTGCACAGTTAACCTCAGGTATGTTGCAGATGCGCAGTATTGCTTGAAATACAAGAAACCCTTAAAACTTCCAAGTTTTTCAATCAATGAACAAAATTAGGATGCTGATTTTTATTGTTGAAAAATCGTGAAACCCTATAAAGTAGAAAAATTGAACTGTTGGTGCCTGCCGTCAACATTATTGGCAAAAAATTCGCATTCGTGAATGTCGCACCCGAATTGTGACTTTATAAGCAGATACACAACAATTTTTGAAATTTGGGCCGAAATGGGCGTCTGGGATAGCCTCCCCCAGCTCTTCAAAGCAAAAGCAAAGCAAAAGCCGCCCATCACTAATTTTCAGTATTTCGATTCAAAGTATCATTGTGCTTTATTTGAATTAGGAGAATGGGACGTTTGAGACCTTCCGTCACACATTTTTTTTTAATTCGCCCTCAAAAGGCATGCATCTGAACTATACAAGCTTCTCGATGCAAATTTTGGTTTTCGTATCAGATTTACACCAGAAATGGGTTCTGGTCAAAGTTAAATATATGCAAGATTTTTTGAAGACAATATGCCTTTGGATTTTTTTACATAGCACTTGATGCATAAATGGGTTGTTTTTTGTCATGAATAATATAAAGGAGTTTGGCAAGTCCGCCCTCTGGGACCTACACTGGCGAGTCGGTTGGGAGGTATTAAGGGAATAGGGGGTGGGAGGCGTTTTACCGCCATCGCCGTCAAGGAGCGCCAAGGCAGCTGAGATGCGATATTCCATATTGTTGCAGTGTATCGATTAGGTTTGGAAATTAAGGAGGGTTCATTTCTTTTTGGAAAAGCAGCATTACGCCCAGATTCAATAAGCAGGAAAGCAAATGGAATGCTTTTTCATCGAGGATTGAGTATTGAACGGTGGTATTGTATTAAGGCATGCAAAACTCTAAAAAATACTGCAAATATGTTTATAATTAACTCTTCGCGAAAAAAAAACATCGAACAACGATCGATATCTCTTTGATAGGTACGTACCGCCTAATAAGTTATAGGTCTTATACATCTACAATCTACATCGATAACCAACTGGACCTTCTTGTCAAGGAAGCTTTCCCATTCGTTTGGAAATGCTCACACCAAGGTTTTGTTCAGTAGCAAACTTTTCACCAAGTACTCATTTTATCTGCCTGTGGCCATTCTATTTGCAACATTCAAACAGTCAACTACGAGTGTTTCCCTTGTCATTCGATAAATTGCGTCTTTTAATTCTATCTTTTACCAATATTTTTCATACAGTCTAAAAAAAGGTTATCTAAAGTCTAAAATATGATACCTTCGGCTGTTATACAGGGTGACTTCGAAGTTGAGTCATTTATTTTAACAGTGAGTATATCTGATCAAAAGAAATGTTTTTTTCCTTTACCATTTTTCTGGTAAAATTAAAGTAACAAAGTTATAGCCCTTTGGAAGTTTGAGTACCGCCCTGTCTCAATAATAATATTATGTGCTCGTGTTTGGCAACAACGGATATAATCCGCATTATCGGTTCATCGCATCGGAAACCAAAAAGCGAAAGAATTTGGAACGATGTTTTTACAATTATTTTATTCAGTTGTATACAGTCAGTGTCAGTCGGTAACGTGTGAGTGAATAGTGGTGTCTGTTGCGTGGCTCAAACGAAATCAAAAATGGCACATGTTTACGAAAATGCTGAACTTGTGGACATGATTCTTATTTACGCGGCATCACGGATTTATGCGGATCGGTTTCCCAATCGAGTGCAACCAACCCCTCGTGCCTTTGTTAATGTAGTACAAAGGGCTCGTGAATCAGGTGACTTAAGACCTCACAGGGGAGGGCATGCCGGTGCTCCAAGACCGCACGATCAAATACAGGTCCGCACTGAAATACTTGTCGGGAGGATACTTTATAAAACAAGGTAACATTTTTTTTTATTTTTCTTTTATTTTTACACACATATTTTGGTTAATCTTCCTTCTACAATTATTATCTGAAAATTAATGACTCAACTTCAAAGTCACCAAGTATATCCAGCTCAGTTCATGGCATCAACTTTTTTGCAATTCTAGGCAAATGCTGTTTGTATATTATCAGTGAAAAAAAAGATGAGATGAGAAGGAATTTTCAATAGTTGATAGTCTTAAGATCACCAAATTTCTTCCAAAATCAAACAACGTTTAATTAAAAAAACCTTTCAAAATGATTTGCCATTTAATAATAAAATAATTCCGACCTAATCGAACCGCATCGGTCCAGTTTTTTATCCGTCGACTATGTGTTTGTTCCCTTCACTGTTGTTTAAAAACAATTTCAGCAACAATCTCGCCGACTTACTCCAGACGATGAAGACATAGATCTTCGAAAGCTTGAGAGATGTTATAAGAATGTACTTTTGCAATACTTTGCCTTCTACCCAAAGAAATTAAAGGATATATATACAATGAAAACAATAGTGTACAAAGGTCTAAGTGAATACGATAAGTTGCCCCAGCAAATAAAAAACGCCGACTCAGTCGGGTATTTCAAGAAAGCACTTATCAAACACATAAGATCTGACAGAATTTGTTAAATTTATTATATTTGAATATATATCTATGTATGTACTTGTAAAAAGCTGTAATGCTACCAGTTGTTGTTGTTGAAATTAGGATTTTTTTTCTAAATAAAGGACTACTACTGAATCAACTTCTGTATGCTCTGGAATGTTTATGGTTCATCGGCCATGAAAATCCATGTACCCTGACATAAAGCCGTAGAGTTGAATGAATATCAGTGAAAGAAAGCACCTATGGTTGATTTGACAAAAAATGATATTATGGACTTTGGATAAGCACTATGTATGGTGCCTTTTTTAAGCTGTGTTTATGTTTACTGTGGAGATCCTTATAGCTGGTCATGTAAAATAAAGAATAGATTGAAGGAAATCATTCGATTATATCATTTTTTTAATAATCAATTTCCGTACGCCCTGGTATTATTTGCTTGCGGAAAATGTACTAAAAAAAGATTTCATTAAAATCCGAACAGTACTTCGTACCATATTAAATACCTGCTAAGAATTAGCGTACAGACAACTGACACATCAACGAAAATTAGTACAACGGTTTTTCATGATTTAGACGTCATACAACATATAAAAGTCATGTTTTATCTTAAAAAAATTTCCTGATTACAATACTTCTTCGCTAGTGGCCTAGTAAGTGAAAAGCGTAGTTCTCAATTCCTATATTCCGCTCGTGTGCTTTTCTCTAACATATCTCCATAGAAATAGCAAACAGCCGGTTCAGACCGATTTGCAACGGCATCAACCTCCTTCTAAGTACCTACCGTTTTTGCGCACGTCAACGCACAATAATTTATCTGGAAACGTAGGGACCAGCAGCACCTTTTTTCAATTATATTCACAAAACTAACATATTCTGCTTGAGTGCGCACATCGAATGAGTCTTTCGAATGCCGAACCCCAGCTTAGCATTGCGAACACATGTCTCTTATTATACGGGATTACGTCTGGTGGGCTACTAGCCTAGGATGTTGGAGTTTGAGGAAACGGATGTATGTTTTTGCATTGCGGAAATATTGAATATTCCAAAAGTGTTTGTTGTACAGAACATGGAAAGATTCATATTATCTATGTAAAGGAACTGGTCAAATCCTGACATGGGGGTTCCAGGGCCAGAATATACTTGATTTTCAGACTTCGATTCCATCTCATATAAAGAATCAGGGTCTATATCAGGGTTTTTGGGATTGAAAATAACTCAAATTTCAAATTATTGCATTTCTGAAATTCTTGTATTTAAATATATGGAACTTTGGAAATATTAACATCAAATGCGTCCATCTTCGAATATTTTACTTAAGTATCTTTATATTAGCATGACTTTCTACTTCAAATCTATAATAAAACACACAAAACATATATAAAAATGAAACAGTTCAGCTTCACTACGCTCACATAAAAAAAAAGTTGAAGTTTCACTATAATTATTTATTGATTTGTTGCAACTTTTTACCGTAAACACTTTTATTTTTGTATAATATTATGATTTATATCCTAGTGTGTTTTACTATAGACTTGAAGTAGAAAGTGTTGCTAACATGCACTCATAGGTATAAAGGCACTAAGTGAAATATTTGAAATTTGTTGAATTAAAATGCCAAAATTTCAATCTTTAGGCTTTAAAAAACAACCAAATTTTAAAAAAGGAAAAATGTTGATGAAAGTGTATCCTACACATGTTCTAAAATATTTAAATGAAAAATTTCATAGAAACGAACAACTTGAAATTTGAGTTTTTTCAGGGCCGAAAACCCCGCTTATATATATCCTTTTACATTTGCTCGGGGCATATCAACCACTGTATCAGCCGTATCAATGATGCGGGGCCCCAAGCCCCATCTTACAGGGGCCATGACCATTCAAATTACAACTGCAATACCTGAAAGAAGCTTTCTGAAATGAAAAGTGGTTAAATTATCTTAGAACTTTCTACAATTCAATTCTACCCATTCTGTATAACATCTTTTTGGTTTGTTTCATTTTTACCAAGCTAAATTTAGCACTCTCTGACTCTATTTATTTGTTTCAGTAGTCGACTTAGACGGGATACATTCTGACGAAACGAATTCTGGAGACAACTCGAATGCTGGCTCTAGTATAGGTCCTGATGATGACCAAGCTAGATTACGATTGAAACGGAAGCTTCAAAGAAACCGAACGTCTTTCACCAACGATCAAATCGACAGTTTAGAAAAAGGTACTTTTGCTAACTACGTATATTATCTTCACGTTTGCTATGTTTAATTTTACTGTGTATAAGCAATCAAGCACATCTCTGAGAATGTATTCTTGTGCATATTTTAAATAGCATAACAAATATGTTTCTCTGCAGCAATTTATTGTGAAATGGCACATTGTACGAGACAAATTATGATTTTATTTTCAAAAATAGGTATTACAAATCGCCTTCCACCTTACGATATCTTTAGTAAATGTTATAACTTGACTATGTTGATACTAATTTGGACTTTATCGAATTATACTAGAAGTCTCGAAAAGTTTATATTCCAAATGTAGTAACATACTCAGAAATAAGTGTAGAGGAGGTGGTAGCCTATCTCTGGGCATACGGTTAATTGACTCTAGAACGGGGGAGGGGGTCTGCAGACCATTGCAAGACCAAGGAGTCGTGTTTTCTTGCCATATAAAGAAGCTGGCGGCGAAGGAATAATTTTCCTCTGTGCTGCTTCGGTCTTGCCTGGGCACACTCATAAATGAAAATAGATCAATGAGCGTATTACGGACAGTCTGAAAATTGTTAAATAAGGTGAATGCGCTAGTGTTATCGGATATTGTTAGAAATTTTTTATTTTTGGCGAATGTGCACAGTGTTGTGTCCTGATCGCAGCTCGCTCAGCTCATTCGTCGTACATACAAGTAGTAGTATTTATTATTAGTTGCTCATTGGTTGACTTATTGTTGAACCGTGCACCCACATTTTACTTGCATAACACAGGTTGATTTCAAAATACGAACGATCGTAGGCAGATACCCTATTCAGATGGCCAAAATATTACTCTACCATCTAAATTTTTGTTTTTCCTTCCAGAATTTGAACGGACGCATTATCCTGATGTCTTCGCTAGGGAACGGCTAGCAGCAAAGATCGGTTTGCCGGAAGCACGGATTCAGGTAGATATCCGATACAATGTAATTTATAATTAACTTATCATTTATCTGGCTGATAAAGTGTACTTTTACTCCCACTTGCTATAAATAATTGACATATGCTCATCGACCATGAGAACTGGCCGTATTTATTTGTTTCTGAACATTTATTTTTTTATATATCTATTCATAGACTACTCTTAGTTTTTAGTTTACGTTATGGCAATCGTAGATATACTTTTATATGTATCTGGTGCCTTATGCGCCATTATGTCTTTGGCGTGTCAGAACCACCACTCTCCGCACTTTGGCCCTCAAATTTTCCGCAACCGGCTATAAACATCCACTTATCGCCCCAGATACATAAATAACTATTATGCTAAAAATAATAGTTATGACTATATTCACAGAGGAATCTACTATAAAAAATGAAATAACCTTGAGGTATTTTGTAAAAAAGCAATTACAAGCTTCATAAATCAATACAAAAAAGGGTAAAAAAAATTATAGCTAATATGCGATGAATCTTGAAACATAAACATTTTAAAATTTTATTTTGAAGTTTATCAACAGGATCAATATATTGCTTGTAAATCCTTATCAGAGATCCATATTCGAGTTTAGACCTAAACAAGCTGAAGTGCAAAGTCTGTAAAGTACAAGCGTTAAAACAATTCCTGATAACAAACCCATAGGTTTTGAAAGCGCTTGTAATAGTTTGATTATTATGTTAATTGAAAGTTCAAATAGATGCCTAAATCTTTCACTTTCGCTACGCTCAAGAACACATTAATCCATTGTTTAATTTTATAACAAAGCGTTGCCTTCCAAGCAAGAGGTAGATGAATAAAATTTGGGGTCATCAACAATCATCAATTTAGAACAAACCAAAGATTCACAGATCATTAACGAATAATTTGAACAATAATAGTCCCAAATTCGAACCCTGTGGATACCACTGGTTGAAGAATAAGCATGTGTTGTGTAGCAATTATAAAAAATCTACTATTTCTTTTCAAAAGCCTAAGTATTCAAGCTTTTGAATCCATATACTGTGCGATTGTCCTTATCAAATTTGAAACAAACTTGCATACCCACACTCACTACTGCCGTGCCTGGTTGTCATCCGTCCATTTCTCTCTAAAATGGGAAGAAAGTCGAGCGTCGGAGTCATTGTCTCCGATTGTACATTAGATTACCGTACTCACCTGTGATTTTTTGAAGCTTATTTACAAATTACACACACAACAGGTGTGGTTTTCGAACCGTCGAGCAAAATGGCGTCGTGAAGAGAAGTTGCGTAACCAGCGACGTGGTGCCGGGGGTGCAGGTACCCCTACAGGACCTCATCAACCCACCCCTGACCACCACCCTGGACCGGCTGCATCCCCTAGGTTTGGCAACCCCGCTGCAGCAGCAGCTGCTGCGGCTGCGATGTATTCTACGATTGGATCTGGGATGTCCATTGCTGATACTTACAGGTAGGTACAAAGGGTTAGGGAGGTAAGAGGTGGTACGTATTTGTTTTTTTTTTTTATAGCGGCAAACGTGTAATTTAAGTCAATTACTCCCATGAATGGTATTTGCCAAATAAGCTCTCGAAGTTAATTTTAGCAGACTATATCCTTTAGTCCGTTATTCCTATTCGAGGTGTCTGCCAAATGACCTTGTGAGGTTAATTTTACTAGACTATATTCTTTAATCCACCCGACATCCTCTACTCCACTTCGAAGATTTAGCCAAATGATCTTCCGAAGTTAATTACTGAAAACTGTACCCTTTAACTGACACAACTGCTCAATTTCACCACACTATGTATATTCTTCGATATGCCCGACAACCTCATATTCACCCATTCGAAGAGTTTGCCAAATAAGCTTGCGAAATTAATTTCACCAGACTATATCCTTTAATTCGTTCGACAACCACTAGATACTTCCGTTCAAGATGTTTCCCAAATAGACTTGGAAGTTTGTTTTTTGCGGATTAAAGAATATTATATTAAATTAACTTTGCAACCGAACAATCGACTGAGTGATTGGTGGAAAGTAAGTTCGCAATCAGATGCTTTTGTCGGATTTGCAGTATTTTCTCAACGTTAAAAAATGAAAAATATCTGAAATGTAACAAATTATTGAATTAGTTTAAAAGTACCGTAATTATAAGATCCTTCCCATGACTACTACGTATATAAGTTCTGGTTTTGCTGACTCTAAAAGTTCGATAAAACAATCATCACATTTTTGGTTCTTATGAAATTAAGTAAACACATGTAGTTTTTACAATAAGTATGTTAGTATCATTGGACTGTAGAATATTCTCCATTTATGTGCCAAAATACCTTCTTCCTGCCCTACACAGACCTATGTTATGATTTTCCTGGAAACATCTATTTTACTTTGTTTGTAAGGAAAAGGTGGCAGGTTCATTTTGTGCTGGGAGATTTGTTGGTTAGGGTACATTTATTGTATTTGCTTCGAACCTTCTTCCCATGTTGGAAACTTCAAAAATTCCTCCATCACTATTTTCTTTTTCTTACATTAATTACTAGCCACTCTTCAGATGAAATGGATTCTCAATAATTTGTGTCTAATTGTCAGATTATTAATTTGTAAAATATAGAATCGTATCTCGCCTTTCCGTAATTGTGGTATTAATGTGTGAAATTCACCATAATCTGGTCTTCCTTGATTAATTTTATGGGCACATTTTCTTTTTTGTTCCTAATGTAAGATACGTACTACACACTAATGTTTAGATATTAATACATATTATTTTATCTTAAATTCTTCTTCCACTGCAAGGAACAATATTTTTTTAACTGATTTTTTAGGATAGCAAAGATACTATTCGTTTTTTTAACCCAAGCATCTAACCTTTTTGATACTGAAAATTCAAAGTAAATGGTGTGATTATGTTCGCTTCATCCGGCGTCATGAAATTCGCTGCTGATTCTCCGTCACGAAGCCGCTGCGATTTTTTCGCGATAGTTTGGGGGAGCCTTTAGTCATCTAATTATCAAGCGACTGAGGTCTTTGAGTAAAAACCCTGTCCGACAGTTAGTGGACCAAGCAAAAACATACTACGAGGGATGTCTTTTAAGTTTTGCATATAGAAACATAGTAGATCGCGCGGATCAAAAGTCAGTACTGAATCTTAACCTCACTCTTTAGTAAACTTAAACTCAAAGTTTCACAACAATACGTGCAGTGTTCTCACTACAGTAAATTTTTAAGTGTCACCAAGTCATTAGAAAAATGGAACTCAACCGAGAACATGTTCACGCCATAATTTATTACAACTATCAGAGACAATTATCGCAACAAGAATGCCTTGCTGAGTTACTGACTGTTTTCGGCAACTAAGCGCCACATCGGTCGACAATTTCTTGTTGGTATGGAGAATTCGAACGTGGACGGGTGAGTCTTAGCGACGATTCCAGGGTGGGTGCACCAAAAACGGCAATCACCCAGGAAAACGTCGATGCTGTGCGCAAACTCAGCATTGAAGATAGACATGTGACATATCGCAAGATTGAGGCGTCCTTGAAGATCTCAAAGACCTCAATTCAAAAAATTTTACATGAAGAATTATGAGTAACAAAATTAGTTTCTCGTTGGATACCCCACCTGTTGAGTGAAGAGCAGAAAGCAGCCAGCGTTAATTGGTGTCAAAAAACGCTTGACCGTTTCAATTTCGGAAACTCATAAAATGTGTACAGCATTGTTAGTGGTGATGAATGAATCGTGCATTTACTGTTATGAACCAGAAAATAGACGACAGTCGGCTGTTTGGGTGTTTCAAGGTGAAGAAAAGCCAACAGAAGTCATCCGTTCTCGAAGTGTTTCGAAAAAGATGGTCGCGACATTTATGTCAAAAGCGGGTCATATTGCAACAATTCCTCTTAATGAGCAAAGAACTGTTACTGCGGATTGGTATACCACCATTTGTTTGCCAAAAGTCATCACCGAGCTTCGAAAAATCAACCCCGAAAGAATAATCATCCTCCAATAAGGCAATGCAAGCTCGCACACAGCCCAAAAAACAAGGCAACGGAAGAAAACGTGGAATTATTGTACCATCCTCCATATAGTCCCGATCTAAGTCCTAACGATTTATTTACTTTCCCGAAAATTAAAAACAGACTGCGTGGTCAAAGGTTCCAGTCACCAGAAGAAGCAGTTGACGCATTCAAAAATGCCGTTTTGGCTCTGCCAGCAAACGAGTGGAATAAGTGCTTCGAAAATTGGTTCGAGCGCATGCAGGTGTGTATTAATCTTCGAAAAACAATAAAGTCATTTAAAACTACCTACCGTGTTGTTTTATTTCCGTATGCAAAACTTAAAAGACATTCCTCGTATACGTTCTTTATTTTCAATATTTTTTTCATAACATTTCTTTCCGTAGCACGATGTCCAGCATGCAGACCTTCTCCCCGATCGGCGCGCCGTCTACCGGCGGCGGCCTGTCATCCCCCGGAATGGGCGGTCCTTCCCCAGCAGGGGCGTGCCTCCAGCAGCGTGACAGTCCTCCAGGAGGCGGTATGGGCGGGTATTGCAGGGGGCCGCCGTCCTACGACCACCACTTGGGGCCTTTGGCAGGTTATGCAGCGCGGCCTGCCCCCTGTAGTCCCGCGCAGCCCTATCAGATGAATGGGCATCAGTATGGAGCGAATGGAGCTGCTTCTACAGGTAAGGTATTCAGGGTGTGCAAAAAATGTGGGGAATCTTTTAGATTCAGACAAATTTTTCTTCATGTGATAATAAAAACATATATTTTGGATGGAGAAAAATACTTAATGGCAAAATGTTATACAGTGTGTTTCCAAAACATTCATGCAGCTTTATGCGTTATTTGCCGAAGATGTGCACATTTCTCAGCGGATGTGGTTTAGGGTATTTATCGACCTATATGTCATTTATGTGGCGCGTGTAAGGCGCCACAGGGCGATCACTCGTTGCACTATTTTAAATTTTGACAGCTTGAAATAAAAAAATAACGCTTTGTTTCGGAGATGCAAGCCCCTGAAAGATTCCACTAGGAAGTAGTCTTAGAACAGTTCAAAGAACCACCTTTAAAATTTTTGTTTGATGTTTTTGAAACACCCTATACATACTTACCTACTTGTTACTTTTTAGCGATATTGCTGCGTTCCATATGCCTCATTCGGGCTCAACGAGAAACCTCGAGAACATCCTAGAGGCGTGAGAGTAGATAGACGCTTGTCTAAGTCTTGCGTGGTTTCCGGGCAGTTCATGACGTATGAAATATAACTGTTTTAAAACCCAATCGTGGGGTCTATTTATAAATCATTACTTTTCAATTTTTAGTAGTAAAATTATCCGAATGAATTCTCATACATCCATCCGACGTCATCGACAACTCCCGATTAAAATAATTAATTTTGTTCATGTAAAAAACATCCCGAGTAGGACAAATCAATGTTATCGGGTGAATTAATGGAAAAAGTTCACCAAACTATATCATTTATTCCACTAGTTTACATCAACCACTCCCATTCGAAGTGTTTTTGTAACAGATTTGCCAAGTTGATTTCACCGCACCTCCAAAGCATATCCTTTAATTCACTCAAGGGCGTCGATAACTTGTGAAGTTAATTTCGAATGACTATACTCGTTAATTTACCCAGAGACTTGGACTACCCCCGTTCGAGACGTTGTCGAATAAGCTTGTGAGGTTAATTTCACCGGACTATTAACTTCGCAACTGTATTTGGGTATGCGTAATTATAGATTGCCAAAGCGCAAAGTAGCCCTGCAGCAGCTGTAGCAATTTCACCGTCCATACTCGTCAAGAGCGCGAACTATACTGTGAAGCAGGCGCGAACATCTGCGACTGTGGAACTGTAGAAACAGTTTTCGGGATTCGCACCGAGATCCGTGCCGCGATTTCACTCCGTGATCCGCTCGTGAGTCTGGACAGGGTAAATAAGCATCTCGTCGGGCGAATGAACGGATATAGTCCAGTGAAATTAAATTCTTGAGTTCATTTGGTAAGCACATCGACACCGACTATTTCCGATCGATGTGTTTGTCAATAAACGAGCGCTGTTAATTTCACCAGGCTATATTCATTAATCCATGCAATGACATCAAACACACCTCAGGGGTATTACGTAATAAATCGATATAATGTCATTAAAAATCGGTATAATGTCAAATTGTGTACTAACTAGTCGTTAGTCAATGCCACGCGAACTCGCTCTGAACGCCACCTAAACAAAAATGACCTTTAGTATAGCATTTACAGATTAGGCCATAAGACCTATAAATGGCCTCTGCTAGTGGCATCGCTGAAGCAGATGTTACATTACATCAGAGCCAAAACATATAGCTCAAGTGTCATGGCGCTTAAGCAACACGCACAGCTAGTACAAGTGAACTAGAAGTGAATGACAGCTAGTTTATAAGTGAAATTTTTTCGGAAAAACGAACAGAATGTAATTAAAAAGCGATATAATGTCATTTTTTTAGTTACATTATTCTCCCGACTTCTTAGATGCGCCACTATTCACCAGTTATTTAATACTGCATTTTTTACAGGATTGATATCACCTGGAGTATCAGTGCCCATAGCTGTCCCTGGACAAACAGATATGTCCCACCAATCATACTGGCCACGAATACAGTGACCATGGTGGAACTAAGTGACAGTTGTTTGTTACGTCTAACAATGAGCTTTACATTTGATGTTTTCTCATTCTCAATGTACTCGCGTTGATAAAGAAACTATCAACGCCAAAAATATGTGTTGGAGAAATTTGAACTAGATGCCTCTTTGAAACTACGTGTAGTCAAATGACACGGGCAACCAAATTCCCATCCTCACTTAACGAGATTTAGCTAATATAGTATAGAACACAATTCGGTGAAATCCTATTATAACGAAGTTCAGATTTCTCTTTCACTCCACATACAGGGTGGTTCCTAGCTGTACTACTCTACTACTTCAAGAAGTGGACAAGTTCGATTTCGGGATGATTTTAGGTAGAGGTCAAAATAGGTCAGACAGTACTTGATAAATGAGAGTAGTAAGTGTTTCCAAGAACTACCCTGGTCTTTCATGCATCCTCGTAAAAAATCTTGGCTATTATCATAATTTGTTGCAATAACTCATAGTGCAATGTTATTGTATTCTTCGTAGAATTATCTCTCTTAATTTGAAGCCATCTAGAATTCAAATTTACTCAGAATTACCGATATAAGATGTATTCAAGATTTTTTATGTAATGTGACTAATGCAATTGTACAAAAGAAAGTACTATTTTTAACAATTTGCCAAAATTGATATCGTTCCAAAGAACTATAAATGCGCATTACAAATGTTTGAGTATTATGTGATGTATTTAAATATATTTATTGTATTCTTTGAATCGTGTGTATGTCTCACGATATTAAGACATATCCCAAAATCTGTATGTAAAGATTGTAAAGTGTTTAATTTAATAGAAAACCACCTTTGTGCATGTGATTTTTACAGTTTTGATTATGTATACTAGTGTACGATTCTTTTTAAATAACTGTTTATAAAAAGGTTGTCTGTATGTAAATATACCAGGAAGATAAAATATATAATTTATATCCAAATGAATAACTTTTATAGTTTGCTTTAAACATGATAAAAGACAACCGCAATATGGAAGAATGAAAATATGTAGAGTTTAAAATCCAATTTATTGCGCCCTTATTTTTTTATAGTTCTAACACTTATAAATCTAATGAGATCAACACTGTATAAAAATAAAATAAACACAAATATTTGAATCACTCTAAGCTTAAATAGGCGTCAATATTTTCAATTTTTGTTACCCGCCTTGGATCAACTTTTTCGGAGCACATTGGACACTGAGGCTCTAATTCGAGTATCCTAGGGAATATGCAAAAAATTAATTATACGTCATACACATGAAAAATATGTTTGACTACCCGAAGTGAACTGCCAAAAAATACATTTTTTACTCAAAGAAATTTTGTTAATTTTTCCTGCCTAAGATTAGTAGAACTGGGAAAAGCCTCCTCTTGTAGATTGTTCCACAATTTCGGCACCCTCGGGACAAAGGAGCGGTCGTTTCGGCCAGTTCTGGTTGTACGAAGTTCAACACAGTTAGGATGAGAGACCGAAGTCAGGCGGGTCTGTCTGGCAGGCACATCGTGTGGAGGCATCATCGATACTGTCGGTAAGAGAACAGTCATCGATCACAGACCTTCTATGGACAGCATCGAGCAAAATTAAGGTAGTCAGAGCTGAAGCATTTCAAACGTGCGAGCAATGCAATGCGGAGAAAAGTACTTCTTAGCCCTAACCAAATAGCCCAGCTATTTCCCAGCAACTGCCGCTCGTGCCAGATCAAGTCCTCGGTGATCTAGACTCCGACCAGCCGAAATGAACGGCTCTTTGGCAGAACTCGACCATCCATCAAACTCGGATGAGGGATAGGGCCCTTTGTTCATCAAGGTACAGTACTGTGTTTTGGAAGCATTAAACTGTACAAAATTGTTGCGTCCCCAAGCAGTGATAACCTTCCGCTGCTAGTCTTCTTTTTTTCAACTCACTGACAGAGATAAGCTTGTCACTCTGGATTCCTGTATGTAGAGTGTGTCATCAGCAAAGCTGTGAATTAGATTGATCGTACAGGAAATGAGAGGACGTTGATATATCAAAGGAACAGTATCGGAGCCAAACCGATCCCTGGGGAACACCCGCGTTGACGTTGTGGGATGAAGAGGAGAACCCGTCAACTGCCGCGAATATCTCGCGACCTGAGAGGAAGTCAACATCCCATCTGCAAAGCTTCACTGGGATGCCATAGGATGAAAGTTTGCTTAAGATTGCAGCGTGCCACGGCTGATGGTACCATTTCGTGATATCAAGGACAACGACATGAACTTCACAATAAGTCTGGATCAGTTTACTCCACAATTGCGTGTCGTAAGCTAGGAGGTCCCCTGTAGTTAATCAAAACGAGACGTTCGAGGTAGTCCAGAAGATCCGAGAATTAAATCCTAAAGTTTACAAAATGAAGAAAATGGGTTACTTACTCGATAAACTCGGATCGTAGAGCGGGAAAATCACACTCAGGACAAGCAGTCAAAGCTGTGTTCACTATGTGTCGACCCTGCAAGTATAAAAATGAGAACGTCGCAAGTATATACGAACGCCTAATACACAATGCTTTTCAGATGACTCCCCCTCCACCCACTTATAAAAATAACGAGTCAAGTCAATGATACCCCATCATAAAGTCTCCTATGAAGACTATACAAGCTTCGAATATAAAATCGCTATTTTTAAAAATGGTGGATTGGTAGGTCGTTAAATTTGAACGTTTCTGTACATTGAATCGCTTATAACTCAACAACCAAATATCAAATATACAAATCTTCTGATTTTGGAAGAGTCCCATATTTTACTAGCCAAATAAAACCACATCTGTAGAAAGTACTCTTTTTGGTCTTAACTAAAGCACTTATCAAAATGGCAGGTTTCATACTTTATTACATACTCGGACCCATGCAAAAAAAATATTGAAATAACATACTATACCATTCTCTTAATTGGATGTTGAGTTATAGCAATTCAAGGTTCAAAACTATTCAATTTTATCAGGCTGCGAGTCCCCCATTTTAAAAGATAACGATTTTATATTCTAGCGTTGTCAAGTGCCCTCAAAGGGCACATATCACGTGACCCGCATTCCACTAAAAGAAATATTCCATGATGATGGCCAGCCCATTTGTGACGTTCAGCGTTAATTCCGTGTCTTCCGTGACAACTCGTGTCACTATCGAACAAAATAGTTCAGATTCAAAGTTTAACTAACTAACCATCTTGTAACTAAAGTCAACTAGTGTTCATCGACAAAAAATACTTTTTTGAAAACATTTTGTAACTTCTACTTAACAACAAGGTCACTATTTAACCAGCTATTGAAAAACTGAATATATTGATTATACAGGGTGTCCGCAAAGTTGGGGTTTTCCTTTACACGACGTGTAGATCTTGAAAACATAAGCAATTTTTCTTAGTACCATATACACCAATGTCTTAAGGGAACCGAGATAAAGGGCTCTGCAACATCAAAAATATCTTAATACCGTCCTGTAGCCGCGACTCGCGACATCCCCAACTGGTACCGGCTACTAGCTGAACCCGACGACACAACTGGGTCGGGGGTCGGGGTCAGTGTGTCAGGTCAGTATGCAACCTTCAACAGACGGTAAAGGGTCACGCGTATAGAGGTAACGAACCCGTATAATCGATTGCGTTTCAAAAAAAAAAATAATAATGGCACACTCATACACCAATAATGAACTCGTTGATATGTTGTTAATTTATGGCGAATGTCTTCAAAATGATACAGAATCGTCGCGAGTGTATGCAGATCGTTTCCCTAGACGACATCATCCAAGGCCTCGCAGATTTGTGTACCTGGTCCAGAGAGTCAGGAATACGGGCTATTTGGAGGAATTTCGAGGTGGGCACAGTGGGAGGCCTAGACAACCACGAATGGTGCAAGTTGAGGAAGAACTACTGAATCGCGTAGACGAGAATCCCTCAACAAGCACTAGAGACGTGGCTAGAGAAGTGCAAGTATCAAAAACTAAAGTGTGACAAACGTCCAACGTGTACAACCCCTTAAACCTGACGATTTTCCAGCAAGAGTGCGGTTTTGTGAGTGGTTGTTGCATCAACATGACAATAATCCGGACTTTTTGAAGTGCATATTGGTGACAGACGAATCTACGTTCACGCGTAATGGGGTGAATAACTTTCGATTTCAGGCAGAGACGTACTTAGCCCTTCTCGTCAACTGGAGAGTGAGTACTTTTTCCTTTATTTTTTTTTAACTTGGTCGCCCTCGTTTCACTACACATTACCTTTGTTATTTCAAGGGTAGTTGTTTCTGAAAAGGAAAACCCCAACTTTGCGGACACCCTGTATTCTGGACATGTAGTGATGGATTAGCAGTGCTAAAGCAATAGAAATAAAAAGTTAAGACAGATATGCCAGGCGAACCAAGTTTGTTGAAATTACATTTGAAAAACCTACCGTCACTATACAGAAAGGGATGTTATTTTTGCAACTGTTGCAACTGACTTCAGTCTCCGGCAACATATTTTCACAGTAAGGACATGGACTCAAATCTTCTACCGGATCTACAAGTGGCTCACCGTCTTTACCACTCTTTGGAGGTTTTCTAACGACAGCTTCGATTTTTTTGCTGTACTTTGAGTCTATGCTCTTTCTATATTCTGGATTCATCAACATGGTGGCATACTTATAAGCCGCTTGTCGAAGTCCGGCCCTGTGACATTCTATGACCGATGACGTTAGGATCGGAACCACGTCTGGAAAATTAAATATAAAATAGGAAAAAATACATTATTACCCTCCCTCGTACGAATTTATTAATGTCATCACCGGATTAGGTAATTCGTCGTTATTATGGCCAAATATCAGATATGCGAAGACATTTTTTTTCTTGTAGTATTAGAGTTTTAAGGAGACAGGTTTCAACAATAGGTTGAATTATCTCTAATAAACATTTTTAGTTTAAGTTTCATGGTTTTAATAGGTTACTGATTGGTGTATGGTAAATTGGTGCATGTCTCACTATGTTTTCGTTTTTATGTTATACGTTATTGTTTCGTTTATTGTTTCTTCCCTGCTCTTTAATTGGAAGTCTGTTCAGCAGGTGTATTTTCATATACAGGGTGACTTTGAAGTTGAGTCATTAATTTTCAGATAATGATTGTAGAAGGAAGATAAACCAAAATATGTGTGTAAAAATAAAAAAAAATAAAAAAAAAATGTTACCTTGTTTAATAAAGTATCCTCCCGACAAGTATTTCAGTGCGGACCTGTATTTGATCGTGCGGTCTTGGAGCAGCATGCCCTCACCTGTGAGGTCTTAAGTCACCTGATTCACGAGCCCTTTGCACTACATTAACAAAGGCACGAGGGGTTGGTTGCACTCGATTGGGAAACCGATTCGCATAAATCCGTGATGCATCCGGGAGCATTTTGTAAAGACTGCCCCCCCGTAAATAAGAATCATGTCCACAAGTTCAGCATTTTCGTAAACATGTGCCATTTTTGATTTCGTTTGAGCCACGCAACACACTACTATTCACTCAGGATTTATCGACTGACGAAAAACATCGTGATAAACGTTTCAAATTCTTTCGCTTTTTTGTTTCCGATGCGATGAACCGGTCAGGCGGATTATATCCGTTGTCGCCAAACACGAGCATATAATAGGCAGGGCGGTACTCAAACTTCCAAAGGGCTATAACTTTGTTACTTTAATTTTACCAGAAAAATGGTAAAGGAAAAAAACATTTCTTTTGATCAGATCTACTCACTGTTAAAATAAATGACTCAACTTCGAAGTCACCCTGTATAAATAACTAGGGTCCGACGAATGTTCGGTTAATCAAAAATGTGTGTTCTGTTATAAGAATGAAGTGATAGAATAACGAACGTTTGTGCCCGTCTTCAATTGTCTAGTTCTCAGCATTTTTGATCTTGCATAACGTGTAAACCAAACCCTCCCTGGATTTTGCTGGGCGGTCATGGGATCATCGGTTTATACAGCAAGGCAAACTCGAAATTAACTTCAACGTTCAAAATTGTTTTTGAAGAAGGCGTTCACAATATTATAATAATAATAATAATTTATTAGTCCTGTATGATCACAGATGTGATATAGGATAAGTCAGTTAGAGCGCTACAAAAGTTAATAACAAATCATATTAGTGTGGACGCACACATATTCGTACCACATATGGCATATTCAAAATAGATAGAAACAGATAAATCAAATTAGCGTATAGATAAAAATCATAAATATAAAACATATATGTACATATAAAAAAGCGAAATAAAGGACAAACCATTAAGTGACATTCAAACAACAATGATCAAATGATTAAAATCAAACAAGACATTCACACATTAAAAATTCCTCAATAGAGTAAAAAGCTTTTTCCAGTAAAAACTGTTTAACTGTTCTTTTAAAAGTGTTCAGTGGTTGTGATTTCAAATTGTTGGGGAGTCTGTTGAAAAACTTAATAGCCATGTATCTGGGGCTCTCCTCCTCCGTTCTCGCCAATCTATGCGACCGCACCTCCAATACTTGACTGTTCCTTGTAAGCACCAGTGCTTACAGAATTGAACTTGTTCAGTTGTGTTTTAGCAAGGATAAGTATATTGAGTATATATACAGATGGTAAAGTTAAACTCTTTAATGTTCTAAATGAATCCTTGCAGCTAGTGAGCCTTCCAATTTTAGCTATTACTCGAACAGCCTTTTTTTGCAACACAAAAAGTCTTTGCAGCTGGGACGATGCTCCCCATGCTTCTATTCCATAAATTAGGACTGAATGGATATATGCATGGTGGAATATCAGTAATATCCACTTCACAACAAAACTTAACTGGTACAGACAGTAACAGAGTGGGGCGATCTTTTGGCTACTTTTCTCAATATGCGTATTCCATCTACAATTTTGATATATATATATATATATATATATATATAACTTGAGACGTGGTCATTGTCGTCTAAACCAGTTAGGTGAAAAATTAAAGCTTCCGCCTTTTGTTGGGTACTTCGACAAAATTTAAGCAAAGAGGACTCTTTATACTTTTTTAATTCTCTCTAGCTTTCAATGGATTTTGCCACCATCATCAGGAGCTGCAATTACAATTGTAATCCATTGAAAGCTAGAGAGAATTAAAAAAGTATAAAGAGTCCTCTTTGCTTAAATTTTGTCGAAGTACCCAACAAAAGACGGAAGCTTTAATTTTTCACCTATATATATATATATATATATATATAAATATATATATATATATATATATATCCCTAAAAATTTAGTCGCATCCACTTGTTTTATTGATTTGCCAAACGATTTTATTAATAAAGTAAGATCCATTGGTGAGGTGGAAAGATTAAATCTAAGGAAAACAGATTTCTGATTATTTAAGATGAGCCCATTATTGCTGAACCACTTACCTGCACCAGTCAAGCTTGAAATGGCAAGTCCTACAACATATTCTAGGTTTTTACCATTAACAAGTAAAGAAGTGTCATCAGCATACATTACCGAGCAATCGGAGGGAAAGTCATTGACATACATTATGTATAAGAGAGGACCAAGTATGGAACCCTGTGGGACACCTGTATGGTAGAAATGTTGGTTGGACTGTGCATTTTGTACCTCGACATGATGCTTACTATCGGACAGATGGCCATGGAACCATTCAAATGGCTTCCCTCTGATTCCATATCTATCCATTTTATCTAGCAGAATAGAATGGTCAACCAAGTCAAAAGCTTTGCTTAAATCAAGAAATATACCTATACATCTTTCTCCTTTATCCATCTTGAGATATAAATCATCTAGGAAACGAGGTACGGCATTTTTGGTTGACATGCTTTTTCTAAATCCAAACTGATTACTATTAAATAATTTGAATCTGTCAAAGAAATTGATGAGTAAAACCTGTAATAGATATCTACTTATGAAACTCCCGAATTTATTAATCCTTTTGCAATAAGATTAATTTTTAAAAATAACTGACCACTCGAATCCCTTTATTTTTGACAATGGAATACGTTAAATATTCAGAATCGATTTCAGCGATAATAATGAAGTGATGTTTTGATGAAATCTAATAAAGTTTAAAACAAAAAAATAGTAGCATACCAACACCATAGTAAAGTAGTTTTTCTATCTTCCTATGTTACTCTTAAAAAATCGAACCTCTGACAAAATGTATATGATGGTACTAACTAGAATCTAAAAGATATTTCAAAGTACCAAATCGGTTTCAAAGAGGAAAAATGAATTAAAGGCCCATATTCGTACATTGTTAAGTTCTTCAGCACCTTTTAAAAACATGTTTCAATTGTTCCTAAATTCGCTGACCAAGATTATGTACATTTTCACGTCTACAGTACGCAAAATCTGGCGTGAGTACAGATTTTTCGAAACCTTCTGTCTTTGGTGAAGCCTACTACTTTTTTGACCAAAGGCCGAATATGTATTTTTTGTGTCGAATATGTTTTGTCGAAGCTGCGGTCGGATCCTAATTATAACCAAAAAAATGTTGCCTTTCGGAATAATTGATACACGTATAAATGTGCCATAAGACAGGTTTTGATAAAGCTAGATTGCACGCTCACGGAAATTTTGTTTACCCTAAGGAGGTCCTCGTGGTTAGGGTTCGGTCACTCCCATCAACTTGGGCTTTATTTTATGCCTTATACAACCTTTTGGCAGAGCCTAAATACAGATATCTGTTGATTCGATTGAACTGGCTAAGGTTGTTAAAACTTTTTTGGTCGATTATTCCATTCACAACAAGTCTACAACGCGACACCGTGGTACTCGGAAGAACAAATACCGTTGACACACAGATTCAATTAGCTGCATTTAGAAAGAATTTGTACTCACGAGATGGAAACTTGGAGATGTTATTAGCAACTCTGATCAACATTCTAGCTGCCTTCAAATGATCCCCTCTTTTCACGTGTAATCGTACCAGGATGTAACTATGTAACAGCATCAGACTAGCATACATATCATATGGGATCTTTATACCATTCTGTTTCAACTCTTGGCACATGGCAAATAGAACATCATGCGCATTTCTGTAGTTCCCATTGACCTAGAAGAAAAATATTTTTTTTTATATAATCAAGGTGGAAAATTATCAATCAGCCAGTGACGTAGCTACCTTGGGTGGCAGCCCACGAAAAATTAACAGCAATAAAAATCTGTATGTATCATATTCATGGAATATCAAAAAACACTGAAAATCAAATACACAGAAGTCTCTTCTTTGACTTAAAATGTTCTGTCTAGCTTCAATGGATGCAAACTCGGAAATAACGCCTTCAGATTTTGTGTTTTGTATTGCCTTGTGTTCTATGACTAATATACCATGATTGAGTCATTGTTGCCCGCAAGTATTTTTTATTCATTTTAATTTACTGATACTCTTATCGCATCAAGCTACTAACACGCAGACTGTCATAAATAATTTTAGTGCGACCATAAGACTTGAACGAGATTATGTAAAATCCCGTTCCACAATAAATTTTAAAAAGTCTAGAGATGCTCAATCAAAGTTTTTATAACATCCCTGATCTTCCCGTACTAGTTGGACTAATAATGTTTCCATTATGTTCTTATTTTCTCTTTTCCTAATTCAATCTTTCACCATTTGTGAAGCTTTTTGTTTACAGTACGGGTCTTAACAGCAAGATAGAAGCCGCTTTCTTCTCAGCTTTTTGTTGGCATTTTTCACCCGTAATTATTTGATAACGAGCAATAATTTTATGATGCAATTTTCTCTGTTTTCTCACTTAGGTACTATGGAAACAACTGAGCTCAGAGACTGTCCCAAATGAGAGCAAACATTGTAAGTATCATCAACTCGAATGTTTCAGAGAAATCATCATGTGCTGTTTAAACAGGTTCGAGATAAATTTCTGATGACAAAAATCTTTTGAGATGTTAGTCTCCTTGTGGACACTGAGCTTTTAAATGTCTCCTCACCCTTGGTATCTCCAACAGTAATTCCGTCCCTGATACTTCGTCACAAAAATCAATGAATTTCGATGTTACTAATTTAAGTTGTTCCGAAAATTCTAAAACCAAAATATTTCTTTAAACAATCCAGAATAATGCATCCGCATTATGAAGGGACTTCAATCTATTTTTTTTTTTCTTTCGCGAACCAGTACCGATGCAAAAAACGTGCTTTGACTTACCTGTTCCTCATTAGCAATAATAAGAGCAGATTTTGAGGCATCCCTGAACTGTTTTCTAGCCATATACAGCCGGAAGAGGTATTTAGGATCCTTCGGAAAACCATCAGTTTCCCCCAAAAGAAACTCTATGAGATTATTTGCTAAAGTTTCGTCATTCGACGAGGCTACGACGTCAATTGCCGAAGTCAATGCTTCCTTCTCATGCGCATTCGATCTAGCAGCCTTCAAAAGATGCTTCATTGCCTGGAATGATATAATCGTGAAGGATTAAGTAATATTATTACTCAGATACTACTTGCCTTATGGTATTCTCTGGCGTGAAACCAATACTTTCCAGCTAACAAGTAATTCCTTTCGCCTTCAAAATAAGTTGCAACGTTGATGAAATCATGTGGCTTGATTTCATCTTCAGTGAACGTATCCAGTAAGATCTCGCCATATAACTGCATTTTGCCGCTCCGTTTCGCCAAATCCAAAGCTTCTTCGCTGCATTTTGAAAGCACAAGAAACTTTATGGCTGAAGTTATGTCGTTCAACCCCAAAAAGAACCTGAAATGTTTATCATGACGTTATTCCTAGTATGTTCATACCTGCAATTTTCGAAACTTACTTTGCAACCATTTTGGCTCCTTCGACACTTTTAGTTTCCTGTACTAACTCAACAGCAATCTCTGGATTATTAAGATGTTCCAGCTGAAGTCGAATCACAGAGTCGAAATCTTTGGCTTTCTCGTAAGCTGCCACAGCTTCCGTATATTTTTTCTCGCTTTCTTTTGCTTTTGCATATTGTAGGTGGATCTTACTAGATGTGACATTAGGCAGAAGTTCGCCAACTACGATAAAAGGTACAAATACGATCTAATAATACATTTTAGGTTTTAGGTTCTTTAGTTAACATATTTCATGAAATGTTTTGCCGAAACCGTCAGCACTGATTCGCATGAGTTAGACATCAATATGAATAAAAATAATACTTGGAAGTTCAGCTAAAATGTACTGTAGAGTAACTAGACTGTTAAATAAACTGACATACCCTTGGCCCAATTCTTCAGCTTGATATAATTCGAGGCAGCCCTATCATACTGTTGACACTTCTCAAAAAGTACTGCCGCCTCGCCCAGCTGTTTTCTTTTATCTAATATCTCGGCACATTCCCTTAACAATTGCTTGTTGTCCAATTCTATGGCAATGGACATCCCATGCCTGTAGTTTCCACAGTGCAGGTTAGTTCTGGCGATTCCAGCTTTACATATAAACGTGTGCTCAGGACTTAAGTCTTCTTGAAGAGCTTTCTCATAATGTCTTAGTGCCTCGGATTGATTTCCGCTATAATATAGAATACATTCAATTAAAAAATTTACACGACTTCAAATATTTTCTCAAGGGTTCTAGGATCAACATGGATTTATTACACATGGCAACCCAGCAGTAAGCACCAAGAGGCTAAATATTGTTTGATACTGCTCTCTTCCAGTCTGTCGTCATTACCCGAAATATTATCACAATGAGGGTAAAGGGGGTGAACGAGAACGTGGCCTTTCTACATTAAGGTTTGGTATCATATTGCGCATAACTAAAGACTTGTGTTTAATAACAGTAATAATTTAATATCTAGGAGTAGGTATACATAAACATACCAGGAACCAGCCGTTCGTACTCAAAGGGCAACCATGTCCCATACACCGACGATTGGTCAAATACGCAATTTGAGGTTAGAAACATTATGAATTTCAAGCATACATTGCTCTCACGCAAATTAAGGTTTCTACAGACACAACTGCAAGCTTGTCCAGCATGCTTGTTCAATGTTTTTGTACAAGCTCGCTTGAATGTCTGTAGGAAAATGTGGTGCAAGCTTTGTAATTGTACAAGCAGCTTGAGGATTGAAATGATTTTAATTATGCATGCTTGAATTAGGCGCGCTTGCGCAAGCAAAACGGTAGGTGTCTACCCAAGATTTTCAAGCATGCACAAGTTGGGGTCCGTTGATGATCGTATCCTGCTTTTGAATCAAAGGTCATACAAGAGACAAGGTTTTAATGCGTCTCTTCATCCATTCTAAGATAATTGTGCCAGTCACGCGGATATATGGGGTTGTCCAAAACGGACGCAGGTAAGTAAGCGCACATTAAAACAAGAAAGATTGATATTCAAATCAAGTTGGGTACTTTATTTTGAAGGTTCATTTATACCATTTATGTATGAAAAATAATATCGTTCAAATGTTCACCACGACTGGATTTACAGACGTCCACGCGATGGTCGAAATTTTCAATGACGCTTTGCAACATGGTCGGTTCTATGGCATTTATCTCGGCAATGATGTTGCTTTTGAGTTCTTGGAGGGTGGCTGGTTTGTTGACGAAGACTTTGCTTTTCAAATATCCCCATAAAAAGAAGTCCAAGGGAGTCAAATCGCACGATGTTGGTGGCCATGGCACATTTCCTCTGCGCGAAATCACGCGATCACCGAAGAAGGACTGCAATCGATGGATATTGACGTTGGTTGTGTGGCATGTTGCACCGTCTTGTTGGAAATAAACATCGGCCATATCCATTCCTTCAAGTTTCGGCAAAAAATAGTCCTCTATCATCACGTGATATCGCTCAGAATTGACGGTAACGGCGTCCCGGCCGCATTTTCGAAAAAGTAAGGACCGATGATGCCTTTTGACCACAATGCACACCACACAGTCACTTTTTGAGGATGCATCGGCTGCTCTTGATACTTACGGGATTTCCGTTCGCCCAGATGCGGCAGTTTTGCTTGTTTACTGTCCCATTCAAAGTGAAATGCGCTTCGTCGCTGAACATGATTTTTGATGAAAAATTGGCATCAATTTGGCGGTGTTCAAGGAGCCAATCTGAGAACATTCGGCGCGAAAAATGGTCGGCCCGACGCAGCTCTTGCGTCAATTGGATCTTGTAGGCGTGTACATTCAAATCCTTGTGGAGAATGTGGAGCAAACTGGTTCTCGAAATGCCCAATTCTTGGGATCTTGTTGATTGTTTCGGATCGTCTCTCACACTCTCCTTCACCACAGCAATATTTTCCGGTGTGCGAACGCTCCTTGGCCGGCCAGAGCCTGGCAGATTTGCCACAGAACCTGTTGCCTCGAATTTACGCACCAGACGACCGATGGTTGTTTCGTTTGGGCGGTTGTTGCGACCGAAATGTTCACGTAGCGCGCGAAACGTGTTTTTTATTTTTGCACCATTTTTGTAGTGCTCTTGAATAACTTTAATGCGGTCTTCAATCGAATACGATTCCATAGCGATCAATGGTAAACATTCAACTAACAAAATGACATGTCGGTGACAGAAAACAAAGATGGCGTCTATGTCAAATTGACTTTTACTTTCCTGCGTCCCTATTGGACAACCCTTTATTTTCAGCTCACTTAGTAAGTTAATGTGAGAATACGTTTTCTCTTTCATCTACCATTCTTTACACCACACCGCACGGTTTTTTATTCGGGATTTTCTTTTCTTCACAAGAACAAAAGCGGAAAAGGGGGGCGAATCGTCGTCGGAGTTCGACATATTTAATTAAACTACCTCTATTTTTATCAAGCATGCTTGTACGTGTGGTGCCAAAGGCAAATTGTGCATACTTGTACAAAAAGCTTGCAGTTGTGTTTGTAGCCACCTTTGGAGAGCTAGCCAATCCTGTCTCCAAGGATGGTATGGCTCTCGGCAATCTAGTGGGCGTAGAACATGGCGCCGAGCGTCTGGGCATTGAAAAATGTCTACATAACCTGCCGCAATCTTTATGTGCAATTAATTCACTTACGTTTTCTCATGCTTTGTAGTTTTTTTAGTTCGTGGTTCATTAATATTATAATATATTTCTGCTTGCAGCTCGTCCGAAATGTCAAAGTTGTAGTTGTTTACAGTCATAATGACTTCAACAGAGAGAGATGCTACATGCGCAGAGCCTGAAATTCATTTCCTGCGCAGTGTACCGACTCATTTCATCGTCGACATTTCTGGCTTCAGCCCCACTCCACAAGTTTAACCACATATTTCTAGTCTTCATGATTGCTCTTAGTTAAATATTTATAGTACAACTTATAAGCGGTAAGTTGCCCATTGATATTTAACTGTTAGGGCTTTAAGCGGAATATTACACGATTTAGTAAGAAAAGATAAATCTATGTTTGAAATTCAAATTGTTCCTAACCTCAAATTAGGAGGGCGACTAGGAGCTAAACCCATACTTCACTTCATGGTTTTTGGCTGTTACGACACAATGCCGTACGAAATAAGTAAACAAATTGACTAATGGTAAGTGAAATTGTACAGTGCAAACGCCAATCCGTAACGCAGCTGCTACTCGCTCTTGCACACACACACACATACACACATGAACTGGTTGAAAGAGGAACTTTTTTTTTCACTGACTTTCAATACATACTATCCACATTGTAGTTGTATCTTCAGGCACTACTATATTTTACATCTAAAATCAACATGGATAAAAATAAATCACACAAAATGTTCCTGGCGGTGAGACAAAGCTCAAAAACGTATGTCTTCACGTTTACAGAAACAGACGTCCGCGCATAGAAGCCGATTGGGTCATATACAGTAGCGGCCAAAAGTCCGAAAACAAATATTAACATTACATTATGAAATATTTCATATACCTAAATTAAAATTGTGAAGGGGCAGATAACATAAATATTAAACTCGACCTTTGTCTCCCGTACTAATACAAGCTTTATCTTATCAATATTCAAATTCTCTGAAAAACACGCGTTTTTTTTTAAATACCACAGTTTTTGTAACGACAAAAGTATGGAAACATTTCAGTTTTGCCGTATTTATTCGTTCTAGGATACTCTGATATTGCGGGCGGTAAATATTAACATCAGTGAGAATGGCAAAAGTAAAAGAATTTTCAAAAGATTTAAGAGGCGAAGTAATCGAATTATTTAGAAGTGGTGTCAGAAATGTTGACATTTTTCAAAGATTAAAAATGAACAAAGGGACTAATTCGAAAATTATTAGTAAATATCAAGAATACGGGACAGCAGTAACGCGGTCCAGGTGCGGAAGACCAAAGAAAACCGATTATGTTTTGGATCGCTGCATTAAACGTTTGTCCCATCAAGATCCTCGACACAGATTTTCAAAAGAATCGTAGAAGAGCGTGCCGAGAATCTTTCTGTCAGAGCAGTGCAGAGACGCTTGGTGGATTTTGGGCTTTTTGGTAGACATCCAGTTCAAAAGCCTCTCATTTAAAAAAAATCGTATATAATTTGCTAAAACTCATCTAACTTGGACGGAACAACAATGAAATACAGTTTTATGGAGCGATAAAAGCACATTTAACTTGTTTGGATCTGACGGTACGGCATATGTGAGACGTCCAATACGGAAAAGATTCGACAAAAAGTATCAGTTGCCAACAGTTAAGCACGGTGGAGGCAACATCATGCTGTGGGGCTGTTTTTCTAGTTCTAGAACGGGTCCGATTGTTAAAATTGTTGGGAAAATGGATCAAAAACTTTTACAAATATATTCTTAGTGAACACACACTCCCTTTTGCTGCAGAAGAAATGCCTCTACGATGGACATTCCAGCAAGACAATGACCCCAAGCATACCTTAAAATTCGTAAGCAGCAGATGTCAGGCAGTGTTGAATGCTAAAAGCTATGCTACAAAATATTAGCCAAACAGTATTTTTTAAATCCTTTTGTAGAGTTATTGTATTTGATTTTGTACTAAAAAATGTTTCCATACTTTTGTCGTCTCATTTTGGTCATAAAATGATATGAATAGTCCTTAATAATAATGAATAAAAAATTCCCGCACTTTTCAAAATTACTAAGAATGCTTCCATGCTTTTGTCAGCTACTGTATGTCTGAGAGAGATGGATGTATGAAAGCAATTCCTGTAGTTTTACTGTGACCCACCAAAAATCCGGGATTAGGCGCCCACTAGAAACACACGCATCAGCGATGAAAGAATGAGAACATTACCTACAGGGTGATGCGTGGCCTCATGATCATCCCAACAGTAAAAACTACACACAAAACTTTGGTTACTTACATGAACTCCAACTGTTGTCCATACTCTCTGGATATAAGCGCCACCTGTTCAGGTGCCATCTTTTTAGCCAACTGCAACGCCTGATCCCATTGCAACAGATCTCTGCGCATTTCCAGCGCCGCAACCGGCTCGCTCGATTTTAGGAACCACTCTTGGGCTTTATCATACCTCTGGATGAACATGTTGATGTAGCCACAGAGTAGTTTCTTCTCTTCAACTTCTAGCAGACCCTCGAGGTTCCACACCATGTGAACTTGTTCTAATTCTTTGTATGCTCTGATTGCTTAAAAGTGGGAAATCAATGAGGTTTAGATAAATAATGATTAGCTAGTACCTGTTTCTATTTCCAAATGTTTCATTGCTTCTTCAGCTAACTTGCTTAGGCATGCTTTCGATTTCAATGTTGAGCATGTGGAAAAAGCAGAGTTGAACCTAAAAAGTAAGCGTTATTACTTTTATAACGATTCAAACAACTAAATAAATAAATAAAAAATGGTCACATTTTGGAAATATTTGCATTGGGTATAAACTCAGTATTTTACCTTAATAAATTCAGTTGTTTACTGAAGTTCGTCTCTAAGATGGTCTGATCCTTGTCCATAATCCCAATTGGCATGGAATCATGAGTTGACAATAATATTTGTGTCAGTTGACCTCCAGAAGAAGCTGACATAACTTCGCCCGCGTACATCAACAGAGGAATTTGCTCTGATACCAAAACAGTTCGCCCTACTTTTCTCACACACACCCCTAAAATATACGCTCATTTTCAATAAGATTTTGTAAAAAGAAGTATTGATATTCTTACCGTCTACAGAATTGCTGATATATGCATATGTACGGATTTCATGGTCGTCATAAGCAATAAAAATGTTTCTATCGCTTATGTTGCTATCCCAAGTAATACCATATGTTTTCGCCGGTAAATCTGGTATTGGTATGATTTCATTCAATACCTAAAATTCACGAAGTACACGCATTTGTAAAAAATGTAGTATATATTTGGAAAATGAAATGCATTATTATTAGTATTCTTATTAGAATTGATTAAAAAAATTTAATTATCCTTACACTGAAAACTGTTTAATACTCCTGAACATAATTTATAAAACTCAGAATATAATTCAAAATGTTACTTAGTCATTTTCCGTCAGCTCCTTTAATGTTCCGGTTACAAAAAAAGGATACCCTCAAAAAAAAATCGGAAATCATGTTTCCAAAAATATATTAATTACTACTCAACCCTCAAATAATAAGTTTTGAATTACACTTACAGCATTGAATAGATAACCCTTTGTTTTTATGTCCAAAAAAATTAGTCTTGTGCCGGCTAAATCTACAAAAATACTCGTGATACCAATTGCATGTCTATACTCCAAAGCTCTAGCCCAATCTTCCATATGGAAGTAGATAATATGACCCATGTCTGTCGCGTAAACTAGAAAATCTGCTGTCAATTCATGACAGGTTATAACCATGGTCTCATTTTCGGCATCTGGAAACATAATGGATTCTCTATCTTCTTGAACGATTTCTGGCTGATCAATCTAAAATTAACAATTCAATATTTGCATAAGGAGTACCTTGTACAAAATTAATCGTATTTTCAGTGCTTAATACGATGAAATTGTAAAAAAATGGAATCCTACAAACCCAAATTTTCGTAACTTTCTGCATAATCGATCACTGCAGTTCTACATGGGACACAACTTTTTATTACTGCTATTTCAAACTCAATGCATACTAACCATGTGCAACAGTATCTTGCCATCAAACAAAACAGAAGCATATTCAGCATTGACTTTGATACTAGAGACAGTTCCTAAATATTGTCTGCTTTTCAATTTCAAAGGTAGATCATCCATTCCTGGTTGTGATTTGGTGAGATCATAGAACCACACATTATTATTCATACCAGCAGCTAAATGTAAGGGTCCAATCGCCAAAAAACTGGGTTCCACTTCTAATGCCACAGGTACTGCGTTCAACTTAGACTTGAAATAATATATCATGAATTTCAAAACTCAACATTACACATAAGTAGTCTAAGAAAATTTAACATAAAGATCGCCGCTAAAAAATAATGTAATTTGAAAGTTGGTACAGCTATTCCTTCAGGTATCCAGTGTCCAACATCAACTCCAGATGCAACAACAGAAGTGGTAGAAAGACTGAGCTCAACAAACATTGTTATTTTTTTTAAATCAAACACCAATTCCAAACTTTATCGTCGAAATATCACGCATATATAGTGCAGGAGTGGCTTGGAAACGAACTGCTGCTTGAAATGTGGCATTGGACAGGAGGAGCCGACATAAACTTAGAGCCAATCACGATCTTGGATCCTCCTGCTCCAGTCACGTTTTCTGTCGATGAAAGAGTAGTTTTTCAGGAAAATGCAGTTGCCAAACCGCAACAGTTTTCTGCAGTCTCATCTGTGACAGCAGCCTAGGTGCATCTATCAATGGTGCCCTCATCAATGTTGATGAAAGAGAATTTGATTAAAGTGATTTAACACCTGTGCAATGTTTTCAATCATTATTTTTCATAATTAAAATTTACAAGTCTATTCCTATTTTTTAGTTTTATCAACTAATATAACTGATAGATCCTAAAGTATTGGTTCTAGAGTCAAAACCTATGTGACATAAATTGTTGTGGAATTAATGTCTAGATTAATAATGTAGAAGAAATTGTTATTGGACGTTTCTCCATTCCCCCACCGCTGGCTCCCCCCTTCCCCTACAGTCGGGAACTTGTTTATGTTCATCTGGACACCTCAAGGACTAGCTGTACCAACTTTCAAAACTACGCGACTTAGTTGGTCTGAATACCTAATTTTATGAAACTAATATGACAAAATATGTTTAGTAACATGCGGTATTCATTCAATATAAAATTTTGATTCATTTGGACTGGTCTAAAGAACTAAGTAAATTGAGGCTGCCTTAGAAAAGTTTTATTGCATGTTGATTTGTAATTTCAGAGTCCTATCAATTTTCTTCCAACAAACTTTTATACAGTTTACCTCTGAACTGAAAATAGGATAAAATTTTGTCCAATATGATGATAAACAATATGAAGTTCTATCCCCAAGAACTAATATCAGCATCAAATAATCAGGAAAGTTCCTTAATATTCAAACAACTTTTCTAAACCTAAAATCGTTTTAAAAACTGTATCACACATTCCAAGCTCTATTTAATACCTTATCTGAAGTATAGTTATACAGACTGACTTCTGTCAGACTTGAAAGAATAGCTATCCTTGGTGGACACACTGATGTTAAAAGTGGCATGTATGAGACATAAACATTCACAGAACCTCCTTCAGTACAAACAGCCAAAAGTTGTCCATCACTACTCCAGTGAATTTGGTCCACACCTGCTTCTTGAGACAGGTTTAATACTGTTGATGTTTCCTTCAGGTTGGCCAAGTCATGAATTTTTACTCTATCAAAGAAAAAAGATTCTTCAGTTCAAAATTTAAAACATTTCAGCATGAAAATATATATGAGGATGGATTAACATTTGTAGCACAGGTACTGTATAGATCAGCGTATCCCAAAGTAGTCGCGACCCCCTGGACATTTGCAATAGAGTACTAGGAGGGTCGCCAGAAATAAGAAACACCACTTATTAAAATGATTATTGAACATTTTCAAACTTAAACAGTAAAGTAAAATAAAATGGGAAAACCATCAATCACTTGCAAATAAGTACGCTATTTTTGCGGCCATTTTGGTTTGGGTGAAATAGGAGCTCGTGAACAATATTCTGAACAAAAAATGGCGTCAGGTAGGTTGACTCTGCACTTTCGTACGCAACGCCGTCAAAGGATTGAGTTCAGCGCAATTTCAATCCTCCGAGAATAAAGTGAGTTACGAACATGTACCACATAGAGATTGAATGGATCAAGTCAGTCAAACAGGCCAATACAATTAGTCCATAGACACTCTTTCCATTCCCATCTGGCAATGTTGTCCCTTTCCACATCTGCGCAGCAGCGCCCAATGCGACACCGCTGCAGCGAGTTATCGTCCATTCCGTGTATATTTATTTATTTGTTTGAGGCAATCGTATGAGGAAGTATATGATGTGTGAGATAATATGATTAATAGGTGCATATTATTATCGGTGTTGGGAGCGTATAAATATATGTGTTATAATAATAGGTAATGTATAGAATACCTAAAACGTGCAGGTAATGTATGAAATATTATTTGTTTTACACTTTGCTTAGGTATTCTATACAATACCGAATGCGCAGCCGGTAATATATGTAAAAGACGAGAGCAAGGAACGGGTGGTACCTTCAGGGTAGGCAATAAACGTTTTGCAACTTGTAAGCAAAAAAAATTACATTGTCATTTATATTCAGAATAATTTTTAGTTTCACGTTAATTTCACTGTGATTTTACTGTAGTAACAGAAAGGTGCTTTTTTGTACCCTTTTCATAAAGCTTATTTTTAAGGAGCACTCTAATTGTTAATTTTAATAAAGTTTATTTTGAATAATATAACTTGTTTCATTTTTTGCCTATCATTTTATATGTATGCCGGTTAACATTGATAAATTTAGACCAAGATCTATTTATTTTGCATGTTGCCAGTGCAACAGCAGGTACTCTATACCATCCCTAAGAATTGTATTCATTACCTAGGTAAAGCACATCTGTTAATAATATTCATATTTCATATATTTGGTAACATATGTACTAACACAAAAAAAATTGAAAACCACAATATCTCATTTTGGCGATTGCAACACTTCCTCACACAGTGGCATAGGCAGTAATAGAGGTTGTGCATTAGATAAATTTGGAAAACACTGGTATAGATAATGAGTCCACATCAACATAGTTTCTATAGTTATATATTTAAATACTTTCAAAAACTTACGTGTTATCACCACATGAAGCAGCCTTTCCAATAACATTATTGATGGTTATATCAGTCAGAGAATTTTTATGATTCCTAATTTGAAACAATTCCTGGCCTACTTCTTTGATATGTGTAGATATTGATATGAAATATCCATTGGAAAAGCCTATTAATATATAGCCATCCCCATACCACTTGTAATTCACTATCAAACCATAAAAACCTTGGAAGGCTAATTCTATGGGGTTATCAGGGTCCAGCAGATTATACAGGTATAAAGTTTTCTTTCCAACTACAAGGCTGATCTAACAACAAGAAAATTACAAAATGAAGTATAGGCCTCACAAAGAAATTGGTTACTGAATTTTCAATAATAGTGATAATTACAGTATTTTCTCCTCCAACTCTTTCATCTGTTTTCATTTCTGAGAACTGTATTTCAGATGGTTCTCCTCTTAGTTGTATCGTTCTCAGTGTATCACCTTCTGCATTACTCAAAGACATTGTTTTATCATCAGAACCGAGGGCAAGAATATTTTCTTGGTTCCAGGCACCACATGTTACTTTTTTGGTGTGTTTGCCAAACACAGGTGTACGTCTAAAATAATAATAGTAACATCACCTTAGAAAAAAAACATGATATATTGCACTTTTAAGAGTAGCCAGATTCATATTGATTCTAGATTATCTAATGATATTTAAAGCAAGGTAAAAAGCAAATATAACTTTTTTATAATTCAAATAACTAGAATCCCCAAATATTTTGAACCAGGAAGACTTACAGTGTAGAGAATAGTACTGTTCAGAATAGTAATCTTTCTTATGGGGTCATCAATTTTTTTATCGATGAAATTCCAATCTCAGCCATCTATGACAAACTGTCCAAATTAGACGCTAATAAAGGATCTGGACCTGAAGGTGTACCTCCCTTGTTGTTTAATCAATGTAGCTTTCTGATTTCTAGACCTCTATTTTATATTTTTAATGTTTCGTTGAAAAGTCGAACTTTTCCGGAATGTTGGAAAACAAGCTTCATTACTCCAATACTGAAATCTGGAGATCCTTCACAAGTCAAAAATTATTGACCTATCAGTAAACTGAGTTGCATTGGAATGGTATTTGAGAGTGTGTGAATATTATCCGCAAATTTGCAAAGTAGTTTTACAAGCCAACAGTTTGGATTTCTTTCAAATGCTCCACAGAGTTAAATCTTTTAACATTCACAAACTATGTTTTGGAATCCTTGGTTATTCTGTTCACATAGTTTATAAGGATTTTTCTAAAGCATTCGATAAGGTCAACCATGAGATCTTAATTAATAAGTTACATTGTCTAGGAATTTGCGACGACCTTTTATCATGGCTGAAGTCTTACCTCACTGACCGAAAACAAATAGTGCGTATACAACGCTTTCAATCAAATGAGATTAATGTGCCAGCTGGAGTACCTCAAGGTTCCCATCTGGGTCTTCTTCTTTTCAATATATAAGTGAATGCTATTATATACTGTTTTAAGTCTGTTAGTTTTCTAATTTTTGCAGATGATTTGAAATTATTCTTAAAAATCAAATATAAAAATGATTGTTTAAATATCCAAAACGATTTGAATTCATTAAGTCTCTGGTGTCAAATGAATAGAATGGAACTTAATGTGTAAAAATGTCATTTAATGATCTTTAGCTGTAACAGGGACTCCATTGATCATACTTATACGATGAAAGGTTGTCCTCTAAAGAGTGTAACTCAAGTTAGGGATTTAAGGGTAATTCTTGACCCAAAATTATCCTTTATTACCCATATAAATATGATTGTTTCTAAAAATCTCTTCAACTGTTGGGATTTATAAAATGATGTGCTAAGGATTTTCATAATATGCATTCATTTAAAATGTTGTTTTGTTCTTTGATGATGCCCCATCTGGAGTATTGTTCTTGTGTTTGGTCACCCAACCATAATGTTCATATTCAGGCAATTGAGAGAGTGCAACATAAATTCATAAGATATGATCTATTCTGTCATTGAAAGCTCTCTCAATATCTCAACCCTTCAGGTAAGACGGAATCAGAGGGACCTGTCACTATTTTATAATATTTTGCACTCTCTTAGTTTTGCTCGAGAACTTTTGAAAAATATTAATCTCCATGTGCCTTCTCGTCAATCAAGACTGAATCAACCATTCCATGTGAGATCATTTCGTACTAATTATACCAGTAATTCCTTCCTGTCTAGATCTTCAAGGTTAACAAATCAGTATTTTAATAAGTTGGATTTCTTCAGAAGTCAGAAAACATTAAAAATTCAATTAGATTCCTGTCTGTAATATTTAATTTCCCCAGATATTTATATTTTAATTAAATTTGTTTCAATTTAGAAATGATCTGGATTGTAAAGTGTTTGTGATTGTTTGAAGTGTTAAATATCGAAGTCAAAGTGGTGTTAAGTTTACATTAGATTTTCTATGCTGTACTTTAATTGGGCAGTCGCTCGTTGATAAATAAATAAATAAACTACTGGGAATTGAGTCAATTTATTAGTCAAAATAAAAAATCAAGCAAATCAAATTCAGATCTAGAATAAGTCGAGCTAAATCCAATACTTCCAATAACTTTAAACCTGATGATCATTTTAGCTGTTTTATATTTCAGCAACCTAACTTACTTTGAGGTATTATGGTTGTATATTGAAAGATTTCCTTTAGTTGTGCCTATGGCAAGTATAGGTACCTTTTTAGCCCATACTAGACAACTCAATACATCTTTCAGACCAACATCTATGGTATTTTTCTTATTTGTATTTGCATCCCAAAGTATCAATTCTGGAGTTTGACTGATCATGGCTAATAAATCACCATTGTTATCCCAAGCAAATCCCTGGCAAAGGCTAAAAACATTCATGGTATTCAATGTCTAGACCGACTAGGTTCGAGAATAAAACAGCCACAGTTTTAAGAGGCGGTAGAAACTACCTGGAAAGCCTGATACGTTCTTGAACCTCTCCATATCGGTCGAAAATATTAACCATTGAATCAACGCCTGTAGTCGCGAAATACATGCCAGAGCCCTTTTGCCAGGCCACATAAACATTTCCAGGCCCATGGGGTTGTTCAAGCCGGAATAGTTTCTAAAAAGTGTTTTGATTTGAAGAGTGGCGTCTATTAATAAAATATATCTACCTTTTCGGTTCCCATTTTATTGTTCAGCTGTCCGTTAACCAGTTTTAAGTCAAAAAATAGTGTAAGTTCATCATTTCAAAAGTTTCTTGAACAATACAAACAATCCGGTCATTTGTTGACATCACACTTGACGTGAAGCTGTCAAGATTGTCAATAATCTCAGCAAAAAAACGTTCCGTGATGGGAGAATGACCACTGCCACGTTGCCAGCTTCACCTTAACATGTAGAGATGGGCGCCTTCTCCAAATTGTGGTTCAATGATCGAATTCGGATGATAGAAGTGGATGAACAATCATCGACAAATACGAAATGTTTGAATTTGTTTAGAAGGAAAAACGATACCCCTCCTTTTTTGCATAAAAATAGCATTTATCTTCCGGAATGGTTTGCGATACATATCGGCAAGGTAAACTAGTGTATTTTGCTATAAAATGCCCTGTTTATTGCTGAATAAACTAGTAGTGATTGCCGGAAAACAGGTGTTTTGGGATAAACAATTAGAGATTCTCAAAAACTACTTGACCAATTTTGTTGTGGTTGTTTAGAAGTACGAAACCTGCGAATTTGAAGAATTTCAAATATCTTTTTTTGGGCCATAACTTTATTGCTATTAGTCGGATCTTTTTACGTATGGTCTCATTTTGTAGGTCTCATAAATACCTAATAATCTTATATGAAGAGTTTTTCCGTTCCTTTCAACACTTTCGATTGAATCCCAAAAAACACGTGTTCTCATTCTTTGTTGTCGAATGAAGTTTTTCCGCAAAAATTGGTGTACCCATTTTATGCGTCCTTGTTTTGAATACCCCCTTGAACAGCTTGCAGCAACAAAACCAGTCTTTACAATTATTTCGCAAACCAGGGGTATTGTCGTCTAATATGATTAGACTACTTACCTTCGGAAAAAATTATGACCTTTAATGGCACACAGAAATTTCAAAGAAAAAATACACAGTATACTCGACCAATCTTATATTTACTTAAACCAGGAGAGATCATGGTAAGAACACTAAACTTAGGATGCACTAAATTAAAAAAAAAATGAAAAAGAGGTTACGACGTCCCTCATATTAGGAACCGGCTGTGGTCAATTATATCACAATTCTGTTGCTATCCCGGACAGTGCAGTGAGCCCAATGTAAATTACCCGATGCTTAGAAAATTACATCTTTAGGTGAGAATAATTGCACAATTAAATTGAGAACAGTTGCTGAAAAACGTTTAGTTTTACGTGAAATTTGTATACAGTGACCACGATTTTGAAAAGCAATGGCAATATGGCAATTTTCAACTGCCAGTTTTATGATACCTCAATTTCATCATACAGAATTTCAGTTTGCTGACTTTCAGAAAAAAGGTGGGAGGGGGATACAATTTTTTTTCCAATTGGCCAATCTGCCACAAAAACATTCAAGGCTCTGTCATACACACATCTATTCCTATGTAAATCATAAACTTGTATACGTTCGTTACTTCATAACTCATTTATTTTTGGGCTCAATGGAGAGTACGCTTACTTTGTGGAGAAAGTTACAGTTTCGTGGACACAAAAAAACATGGAAACATGAAAGACAAGTGGTTAATGCAGCGAAATGCATTTCAAATTTCACAAAAAACAGTATTTTTAAAAAATTAGAAACTAGTCCGTTGTGCTAGTTTTTTCTTTTCCATATTCCCAGATTTCTTATTTATATCTCAAAAACTAATGAGTGATGATGGAACTATAGATTCATGTTTTACATAGGCGTAAAATGGTTATTGGAGTCTTAATTCCTATGCAAAAAAGAGTTTTTTTACAATAATGTAGACCGACAGTTTCACAAAAACTACTTGTGGTCAAGTATTTTACTTGAAATACCACTGGTCAAGGCATTTCCATGGTAACTTAATGAATGTAATTTTGGCAACAATATCCTTACCTCTATCAACAGGTATTTCTCAGTTATGATGTCAATCAAAATTTTGGCACGAAAAATTCTACTTCAAACTAAGGTTTATCAGAATAGATACTTATACATAGGAGTATGATCATTTAGAAGTATTTTTTATTATATTATAAAAAAACTTTCCAAAGTTATAATACTTAAAAAACCTTCAAGCATGCAATGTGTTTCAGGGTTTTACCAAAGAGTAGTTATATAAAGAGACAGTTAGACAAGGTGAATATAGTTAGAGATTAGAGAGTGATAAAAGATTGCTCCAAAAACATAGCGTAAAACGTAAAAAGAAAATAACATTAAGCTCAACTAAACGTGGCGTTTTCTCAACATTTTATGGCAGTTTGACAACACCGCCTTTATACATGCAGGATGCAGAGCCATCTATAGGCCAATCGCCAAACCAAAAGTATATTCTATAGATCGCTCTTTTTATTTGTAAACCAGTAATAGTCCAAGGCCGTCCGCAATGTTTTGGTTATCCAGTAATAGTTCAAGGCTATCCGCAAAGTTGAAAACCAGTCAAATTTTATGTATTTTGATGCTTACACAGCAAACTTGCCGAGTAATAAGTAAGATATAACTAGTTTTTAACGTATCATACCAGTACACGACGATGTAACAAAAATGTTGTGATCAGCTTCCCTACTACAATACAGAGGCTTCTCAAGGTCAATGGGGGATGACAAAGACATTCCAAGAAGTGTCTCTTGATACAACTACTCTTTGATTTTACTTTATCTCTTCACCCTCCTTAGATGTTTTCTTATGCTGCTCTACCGACATAAAAGAAGTAACTCCCGAAGCATCGTTCCTCAGCATTATTTGAAAACATGAACATGACAATGGACAAACAAATGTGAAAGTAGCTATATATTAATTGATTGGTTTTTAGACAATCACATAAACAAAGGAAACCACCAAATAGCTTAAAGTATTGTACTCTTGCTATTTATAGTACATGTATTTATACAATCAATTACTTCATTCGACAGCATTGAAAAAATAGCGACGTTGATTGCAGATCAAAAAAATACAAATGAAACTTCTATAAGCTGACTCGATGTTACACATGCTACCAAATTTTGACGTAACCATTATTTTCTCACTCTCGTTTACATAGTTATATTTACGTTATAGGTAAATGTGAATGATAATTTTCCAGATACAATCCACAAGTTCCCAAAAGTTGACTTATTTTAAACCTGAAGGGCAGAACACCAACGGTTATTCCTAAGATACTACTCTTTTCTTCTTTTCAGGAACATTATGTGCAACATTAAAAAAAAAGAACAACAATTTTTTCCAAAACATTAACAACAACGCTAACATCCATAAAGATTTCCAAAAATGTCTGCCTTACCGCAACAGCACTGGTTAGGGGATTTTTTTACTAAAATGGTTAGAAACAGTCACTTACATTACGAGGTAGCTACGTTGATATTTGACTACAAAGGTTTTTTTGGAAAGATCTGTAGTGTATCAGGGCATTAACGATAGTGTTTTTGAACAGTCAAAAGTCAAGCTATGTATCGTGGCCATATCGTAAAATTGACGATTTCATCAATTAAACGCGCGGGTACTTCATGGCTTGGTCAAGCATGTTTTTCGAAGTAAAAATTCGAATAACACACTACCAAATAAGGAAGTAAGTAATATTAAAAGACTTTAACGACAAAAAGGTACGCGGGTTCTCGAGACTATGCGGGTCACGCAAGTAACCAAAACGTCAACAGGTTACTACTTTACTCCTAAATTCATAAATTTATTTGAAGTCAAAATCGTGTGTCATCAAAAAATTGTTTGTTCATTGAAGTATTTTTTTTATACTCCAACTACCACGAAGGCCTAAGGCCTAAGCACCCATTGGGTACCGTGGGGCTGTGGGGGATACATGGGTACATGGGAAAGGGGGGACGCCACACGGACTCTGGCGAGGGAACACGTGTGCATGCAACATGCACACATTCTGGCTCCGCCTACGAGAACCGCCGGGTGGTACCTCCGCGTTCGACAGTCAGAGACCATCTACCACCTACGGACAATCACAACATCCATGGCCAAGAGAAACATTTCTCCTGGGACGGGACTCGAACCCGCACAGCGCACGGCGGCTGATCAGGAGACCGAAGAGTCTACTACTGCGGCTACCGCTGCTGCCTATTGCTTGATCATTTCATGAAATGGTCAATTTTTACGATATGGCGACGACATTTGCAACTACAATGATAACAAATATTCTCAGTCGCGCATTCATTTTTTTTATAAACCTCCACCTCACAAAATGAGTTTATAAATCATAAAAACATGTATCTTCGTGATACTGCTTATTTTCATATTCTGGAACCGTTGTGGAAAGCATGTATCGTAAGACCATTTTAAAATCAAAGCCTGAATCGTGAACGAATATAATAAACTCGACCATCATAAGCGTTGAAATTGGAGAGTTACAATTATTTTTCGGACGTTCACATTGTTATACCAAAAATACTGATAGATATATCATACATCTAAAAGATGATGAGCTAGTTGTAGATCAAATACGACCACACAAAAGCGAAAAAACAAACATAAAAGCCGGGACTCACTGCACCAGAACGAAATTATATAGATTATAAAAGGACATACAAGTAACAAACGGAAAATCAATCGATTTATTTAATGTCAAAAGACGAAGATTTAAACACTAACGACGGTCCATAAACGAGTATCACTCTCTTCGTATCACGAGCGTCTTAAACACAAACGCACTGGCTTTAGGAAATCGGGGAGAAGTACTTCAAAAACATATAATGCTTAGTTACCGCAAATCTAATTTTGTTCCCATTCAAAGACTTTCCAAATCCAAATGGCAGTTTCCAAACATGCTCATGAGGAATGTATATTTGTGAAAATTTAACACCAAATTTAGCAATCAGGCAAAAACACTGAAATGAACAATATCACAGATACATATGTCTAAAAGTTCTCAAGCTTCCATCTCTATTTGAAAAATTTGATTTCGAAAGCTAAAACTTACAGTAAAGATTTTTTCAACATATTATGTGGTTTCAAATGGCCAGAGAAATATGAAGGACTATCCACATGAAAACCACAGGATAATTTTCCGATCTTACGAAAATCCTTAAGTTTCACAAAATGATATAAGTTGCTTGTTTGCTAAATTCGCCAGAAAATTTCCCCAATTCTACCCTTGACATGTTACATTATTCCAAGACCCACCATATTTATCAAAGCAAAGGCGCATTCTGAAAGCTACATATAGTACAACAACTTCGAAATTACATCCCACTGCATAAAAACTTCAACCCTATATTCAGCACCTCAGATGTTCCAAACTCTAAATTTTTAAGTGGTAGGGTCTTGTACATAATTTCAGGTCTTTTTATAACAAACATCGGCTTTTTCTCTGTAGGAGGTAAATCATAACGGGTTATGTAGCTTATAATCACAATTCCAAACTTTTAAGTAAAATTGGGTATTTTTAAGATGTTCTTTATACCAAACGAAGCTCTCAGTAAAATAATATTCTTTAGCAAACTAAATTTTCCATCGCAAACTACACTACCCAAACATAAATCTCCATTAATGATTTCATCCATTCTCCCCGATCTCTACCGTATCGACCGTCTGTTTGCATGAACACATGTTTGGACCGATCGTATGCCTGTCCCGCCTCCGTTTAACAGAAGACACGCTCATCCGCAAATTTACTCCGCCCATTCGTACATTAGCCCCGCCCCAAGGGAAGTTCGCCCTGCCCATTGGGACTTTCGCCACGCCCTCTGCGCGCCGTCGTCGCGCTTTCAGGTGGGCGGACGCACTTCAGCTTTGCTTGAGGCGCTTGCGCGGCGGCCCTATAGGCGGGACTTGTTGCGTGGCGAGAGCCCTGAACGCTTCCGCGATGAGATGGGGATGGGTCATGATCATCGATTTCCAGCCGGGCGTATCCGTCACGTCTGTCGCGTGCCTGAAACAAAATAATGCATTACATATGCGCCTCAGGATATAAATATATAAGCGCTCAGGCATTAACAGCATACTTCGTCACCAATGTATATAAATTTAGAATTTTTTTCACTACTGACTATGGACGATAGAATCCGGTAAGGATAGAAGTTGCTAAGTACCTCATTTTCATAGATTCTAATTTAACAAGTAGCTTAGGAGTTTCATTCTGTCAGAATAATGGAATAAAAACAAACAACAACAATGAATTCATAAATAAAACAGACTGTATTTACTCGTACAAGTGAACAATAATATTCACAAACGGATAAAGGATAATAGCAGTGCCGTCAGCAAGTCTTAAAGCTGTACATGGATCCAAACATTCATCATTTACCTAGGGTATTTTTTCTTTAACATTATCTATCTAGAATGAGAAATGTAACTTCTCATTCGAATAATGCGATTTCTCATATAGTAGTGAAAAAAATGCATATTTATATTAATCTGTATTCTTAAAAGGAATGATCGATAATCTTGGTGGAGTCGAAAATCTTTTTTATACAGGATGTCCCAGAGTTTGTGACAATGTGGCCATTTTATAGAAAAATCAACGACGGGCCCCAAAGATAAACAGGGTGTTCTTAAGGTTACTATTTCCACACAAAATAAATAATCTTTCATAGTTTTCCTAGAAACCCATGTCACAAAGGTATCGGGGGTGACCGAGATATGTGGTTCAGAAAAAGTCAGCGATATCAAATGCGACCTTGCTTCCAGCAAATGATTAGGAGAAAAGATAGGACGTGCGTTAAGTATCGATGAATCCAGGTACCGCGCGCTGCGTAGGTAAACGAACTACTTGTTCATAAATTGGATTAGAAAAAAGCGCAAATTGCACACGCCTATAGTAATACTGGACTTTTCCAATTGATGTTAGTTTCCAGAAGCTGCTGATGCATCGCGAGTATATTCAGATCGTTTTCATTTATGTTTCTATTGTGCGCCACATAGGTTTACTTTTCTCGTACAAAGGGTGTTTGTAGAAACGTTGAGCTGGATATGATAGATGACCTAGATAATCCTGAATGTTGCAAATTGTGGAAAATGTCGGCAACACTTGTGTTTTTAAGGCGAACAGCGAGAACAGGGCAGTAACTTGAATTTCTTCAAATAAACAGTGGCTACGTTTTTTCATTCTTTACTGCTGTTTTATTGCACATCAGGCGGTTGTTTAAAGCTAGTTGTTGGACAATCCCAACTGTCAGAACAACCTGCATAGACGTTTAAGAGTTATTTAATAAACCCACATTTTCAGTAGCATCATTTAGAGGCCAGCATCTCCGAAAAGTGCTATATTCTAGTACAAAGTAGACTGAGAAATAAATACGAATGTTCTACATACAATTCCAATATAAAAGAATGTGCACTTACGTATTAATAAAATCTATGGCTTGGGCTTTCAGCTGATCTGCGCTATGTAGATCCGCTAGGATGAGGATTTCAGCGGCATTTTCTATCGATAAATTTGTACAAAGTGCTTCTTCACACATCACTTTCAACCTCTCTAGGGCATACTGAAATGAACACTTGTTTTAATAAGCTGCCATACAATCATACATGGTAATGGTACATCTATTTGTCGATAGTTACCTTATCAGCAGCTGCTAGAAGGTCATCGGCCATTTTCTCTAGGTTTGACGCCTTGCCCGTGTAGATGAACCTTAACATCTCGCGCAAAACCTCATGGTCAACATCGGTGATGTCTACTCGGTTATGTTTCCGTTCTTCCATTTCATGCTCGAACATAGCCTGGAATACGGGACTCCGCGCTATTTGAAACAAACAATTGAGATTAATATAGGTTGTTAAATTACAGCGTATTATTACAGATTATCTCTTGCATGGTTAGTAATTAGTTAATAAATGATATTTGTATAGACACCCATTTATCGCGTAAGTCCGTCGCTCGACAGAAATAATGAACGTTGAATGTCAATTTATTCCAGATGTAGCATACGAAGAAAAACAAAACGAAATTTCACTGGTCTTTTTACTTCCTTCAGAAGGCAAATATTTCAAACAAAATTACCCCAATGACATGAATAAATGGTATTTTATTCTCGAGATTTGTGAGGGAGATGGATGTATACTTGAGTGATGGCAATAATTTTAGTGTGCCCCACCAAAAACCATGAAATTAACTATATCTGATCTCTTAATTGAATGACCAATGCTGAAATCGAATATTTACTATAGGAAACTTGAAATCGTCAATAATGTTCCTGGGATAATTCTGCATTAAATTGATTGAATTTAAGAGATTATGCAAGTGAAAAGACCAATGAAAACAAAAACGAAACACAGAAACTCCAATACAAATAATATAAACTCACCTGCTAGAATGGCTTTATGAGCTTGGAACTCCCTACCAGAAACTGATAACGTCACATCACTAAACTTTTGATTTTCGAATAGTAAACCTAGATCGTCTGATAACCTACACTCTGGCACTTTGAACTGTATTGTATTTGACTGGCCAGATATATTTACACTATCAGCTACTACACTAACCTGCAACAGAGAAACCTTGGATTACTCAAATTAAATTAGTGATAATTTCCAACAAGGAGTCAAATACAGCGTCAAATAAATTAATGACATGATGCTACTTTGTTACAAACTGAATATGTATGTTACCATGAATAAATTATTTGAATTTGGTAAATGATCATTCAGGACTATTAGAAATTAACTTTTGGAAACAACCTGAAGGGTTAAACTACACACTAATATAAGGAAGAGCCAATCTAGAAAATTTAGTGGAGTTTTTTTATTATTAATAATTCCACATAAAGGATTTATCCAGGTTTTTAGAGGGAACGATCCCAGGACCATTCTGAACTATCAGTAGCCAATCCATTGTAGCTTGAAATCATCAAAAGCAACTACCTACATGAAATCAGAACGGTTCTGAGATGGTTCATTGTAGAACCTTAATAAGGTTTAAAATAAGTATATGTTGTTATACTTACTTCACAGAAAATTGTAAGCTTATCATCAGGCAAAAGACCATTTGCCTCATCCAACAAGAAGTCCCTCCGGATGAACTTTTTGAAACCCCAGTCTTTTCCCTGCACAAACCGATATGCCCTTTGGCTTTCCATAGCTTTAGTCTCTTCACGTTTCGCGTTCAATATGCTAAATTTGAATTTCGCCCTAACCTCACTTTTATTGCACGACACTAACAGTAGATACAGTGATAGGTAGTCTTTACTCTCTTCATCTAGGCCTTTTGGGTTCACCCTGAGACACCTGCAACAACAACAGAGTTTTCACACCAAACGAGACAGTACAACTTTGATGCTTATACCTACTTTGTATATTTTGATTTTCTAAAGAAAAAACATATCTGGGAATCAAATACAAAATATGTCAAAAGTCAATGAAATCAGTTTTTGCATATTATAGAAAGCACTTTGATGCAAAAACAATACAATTATTAAAAATATTCGCGTTGTGTTAGCTTCTGATACAACGTATATTATATAGACTGAAAGTACCTGTTTACGACAAATAACAAAAATTGTTATGCAAATTTGAATGTTTCCTAAAATCCTCAATATAACCTCACCTGCTCAAAATATTATTCTGGACGTTATGATATTCCATTTATATAAAATGCAAATAACAATATATCATAATAAAATGCACAATACGACTATTAAACCAAAACCACTTCCAGATTCCAGGGATAAATATTTATAATAAGTTTTTTACGTTTCCGGTGTAACCTAACCCTACTTTTACAAGCTCCCTTACCATTTTAATTTGTCGTTTGCGCCTGCGGAAAACGTCGATGATTTCAAAACTTCTCCCATTTCTTCCCGGCAAAAACTGAAGTTGTTGATAGTCCACATGTAACTGAATTTAACAACTTTGACCTGTAAAGGAACGGATTTCATTAACGGTGGTTGTAAATTCTGATCGTTGATCGTTGCATCGCCGGTGACATCATTTGATCCGCGATTGATTTTGCTAATCTTGTGGATAATGTAGAAAGATACTCTGCTAAACATTTTTTACTGAAATAATATCTAAAATCTGGTGAAATTGAAAAAATGTAGAGCACAGAGTATAAGCTCATGGCTATAATGTCATGGAAAAGGAATAAACAATTGAAATAGTTTTCATTTTCATAGCAAACCTTGTTTTATACAGGAATAAGTGGTAATATCATTTTTTTAAAGTCAGTCTGGCACTGGTCAGACCATTTGCATCATACATTTTCGCTTTATAGAACCCACTTTGAACCAATGGTTTAACTGTTTCAGTAGTATTTCAGGTATTCACACTTCTCGTACTTACAAAGTTTCCATTCATGGGAAATAAAAATCAGTTCCGAAGGTGGCGAAACCTGAAACTGCTTAATTTTTGTATTTGTGCTAAAAGTACTATTCAGCATCAAATATAAACTTTAGGAAAAATGGGTATCTTCAAAAGTGGGCATCGGTTTCTGGGGTTACGTGGTTGTTTTAAATTACTGCGTGTATTTTAACCACAAAGCAAGTTCGCACATGTATTTTTCAAGTTTCTTGATGAGATTGTTTGAATTAGATTAAGTCACAGCATAACAACGTATAATTATTTTTCTTTCGTCCGTTCTAATATTAGTCGTCCGCTATTATAGTATCGGGAGTAGGTTATTAAGATCGTTAGGTAAAGAAACGTGTTTATGGTAGAATCGAATTTGGGGCAAAGTTTAATAGAAATCCATAGGAACGTCTGGAAGATGGAGTCAATTCAAGCGGACTGACACAGCGGTCGTATTTATGTTTATTTTCACGCCCAGTGACAAAATAAATATTTCAGCTTAAAATTTTTCAAGAATTTTGAAGTTTTGTACGTATGTAGCGTTAGTCAAAAAGCTAGACCAAAGTCGTGTAAGAAATTTTTTTTTAATTTTGAAAAGGAAGGAAACTGTTTTAAGCCATATTTGATCACCACTTTTGGAAAATTCGCAAGGAGTTAGTTGTTGAATGTTTAACCACTGATTAACATATTCTACCTGCAGATAGCCAACAAATGCTAAATTCCCACATCTAAAAAATTATCCGAGATAAAATATCACAATTTGTGACAGTTGTTTTTCTATTTAATATATATTTATACTTTGGAAAGGTTAGTGACTCATAGAAGGCGCTATCTATACCATATTTCACAAGTATTCATCACGCTTTGACGTCTTCTGAGGTGAACAGCTGATCAGCAAGTGCCATTTTTATTTTAGTCTGCAACGTTGGCAATAATGGATCGGGTATAAATCTAGCAAAACTGGTTTGAGGCGTTTTGTGTTTTGTATGCAAAGGAACTTTTCTAAATAAAAGAGCTGTTAGCGTACAAAAAATCAAAACAAAATATGGCTCTGTCTACCTGGCACTGACGGATCTGTCAGAATTACGTGTCCTGTGCCGATATGGGGAATTTTGAGATCTTAGTAGATAATCAGCTGTCATTCTACCGTGATGGATACTCGTGAATATTTGAGCATAAATGCGCCACCTATTAGCAAACTAAATATTCTGACAAGATACTATGTCAAAGCAGTAATCCCTACTACCATATGGAAACGTTCTTAGAAAAACTGCACAATCATTGTGAACCAACAAACAATTTCTCGCAAATTCATATTGCAGCGCTCGTACATCGAAGCTATTCAGCCCATAATAAATAAAAGTGCCAAATAGATAAATTGTAGAAAACGTTCTCTAGTCTGATTTGTCATACAGTTTGGAACGAAGATTTCTTTGAATAAAGTACTTTTTTCAATACAGCGGTGCAAGCGGAATGGATACAAAGTGAAAATTCGGAAAGAGAAAAACAACTTCTCAAAACTTCCCCAAATTTTTTCAAGTACACCTGAATTTCTGTTTTAGGAATACCGTTGACAAAACACCGTACGTAATATAAAGGGCATACAAAAGAACGATTTCCGTCCTATTTCCTTTGTGAGTGAATGACCGTGTTTGGGTACCGCAAGAGAGACGTATGCAGACGGTTGTGTCGCCCAGACATTCTAAAAAAAAGCGGGCATGGAAAATGAACAAAGAGCTCCGCATGACTGGGGACCAGGGAGGGGGAAGTTCACAAGTAGTTCAAGGATAAATAATTTAGTCTTAAGTTTCAATGTCTTAAATGAAATATGAGGTGACTAAAAAACCGAGGCTATAAATATTTCTAGGGCAAAAAGTATACTGAAAACACGAAACATTTCTATGAACATATATATCCTAATTGAAATATAGATAAATTTTTACCAGATGAGTTCTTTTGAAAAATTATTTTTTAATAGGTATCCGAGGTAATCTTGATACTAAGGTGTATTCAAAATTCTTACAATTATTCTTCTGCGTTCTCGTATTGGTAATACAATCATGCAGCTTTTCATTTATTTGACCAATATTGTAACCATTCCCGAGATCATATAATGCTAGCATATCTCTATATTTTCCGTTTTACTCACAAACTTCGACATATCAGAAAAAAATGAGAGGAAATGGAAAGCCTAAAATCCTATTCAAAATGACTATTTCAAACTCATTTCGACATCGATAATAATATTTCCATCCTTATACGTGGGTGTTGAAGTGACCCGCCTTTGTTTTTTTTCTAAACAAATGCTATTTCTTATTGTTTGTTTGAAATGATACAATATTTTTTCAGTATTGAGATAAGCATTATAATGCGTGGAAACAGATAACATACCAATCTCTTATTATGTAAGTTGACTAATGGTATCCATTCTAACAATTTACAAACACATCATTTATACTTTATAAGGATGACATTAATTATTGATTTCATTGTGTGAATTTTACAAGGTACTCCCACCCACAATGATATTTCGATACAGCCTTGAAGTCAAAAACAGGTAAGACGGAGAGAGAGAGGACGAAGCATTATAATGCCATCAAAAAACTGATACAACTACTGGTTATGTGCACAAGACACAAGTGTATACTGAAATTGAGCCAATTTTGGATGATGACATTGACAGAGTTTTGCATTTGCTACGAGATTTTTGGAGAGTCTGATTTTAAGCTTGTGTTTGAGATCGATAAAATGGACCGCTTTTGAGAAAACCATCTCGATTACAGTTTTGGCGCAGGATCCAGTATACAGATTCCGCCATTTGGGAAATATGGTGATTTTCATAGGCAGATGCGTAATCAGGCACGAAAAATCTCAGAAAAATTTCAGATGACTTAGGCCCGTATCGTCAGTCGACCCTACAATTGTAGGGCGCGTTTATGGCCTCCTTGATTGTCATACTCCTTTCTCTCCTTCAAAAATTTCTAGATTACACTTGTCCCGTGTCAGCGTCAGCGCTCTCCTATTGTGAAGATTTGTTTTTCTTTTAAATTGTAGGAAGTTTCAGGCTGATAAAACATGATATAACCCAAGCACAATTTGATGCAAATTGATGTTTGTGACATAACCTCAAAATAGAGCGCTGACACGGAGAACTATGACAATCAAGGAGGCCATAAAGGCGCCCTACAATTGTAGGGACAACTGACGATACGGGCCTTAGTTTCAGATGTTTATCCAACTTTTTGGAGATCAGTTAGATACACATCGAAATAAGGACAGTATTGAAACCGTTTCTTTCAAAAACGAATCATTTCATCAAAATCAAACAAGCAACCTTTTCTCCAGTTAAAGGATTGGGCTTCCTGCAAATATGTTTGAACCATTTTTTTATACCGAAGCAGCCGCGCAGGCAGAAGCCTAAATACCAGGGCACCGCAGCTGATATGAGAAGTTTAAATAATCTTTGTTATATCCGATTTTTGAACTGCATGGCTAGTAGAACTGGGAAAAGCCTCCTCAGGTAGATTGCTCCACAATCTCGATACCATGGGAGCATACGAGCAGTCATATCGGCCAGTTCTGCACGTACGAAGTTCGTTGGCGTAGCGATAGATGAGAGCTAGATCGTCGACGAACCGTCGGTGCGAGAGGGACCAGAGACTGTCCGTTAGAGAAGAGTCATCGATCAGTGGAGCAGGCCTCCTCTAAACAGTATCGAGCATGGATTATGTAGACTGGGTGGCAGCACCCCAAATATGTGGGCAGTAGAAGACGCTAGGTCTTATCTGGGCTTGTACAGAGTGATTATGTGAAGAAAAGTACTTCTTAGCCCTAAGCAAATAGCCTAGCTTTTTCCAGCAGCTGCCGCTATCGACGAGACGTGTTCGTTCCAGATTAAGATCTGGACTCCGACCAGCCAAAAAGTACGGGTATTTGGTAGAACTCGGCCATCCATCGAAACCGGATGAGCGCTAGTGCGCTTCTCGTTAGTCAAGATTCAGGACTGTGTTTTGGAAGCATTAAACTCTGCCAGATTGTTGCGTCCCCAAGCAATGATTATTATACAGGAACTTCAGCAATATTGCGTTAGAGCTATTGGACCCTTGGACACAAATGAGATAACAGTAGATCTGCATGTTACAAATAATATCCAGGTCTAGTAGAAAACTATCAGTGAATCTCAAATCTATTGGCAGTTTGGAAACTTCTCATCTCACCCTCGTATTGTAACACCGTGCTTATCAACGTTCCACTTTAAATGTGTGCAACGATGTCATCTTTCACCAGGCGGTACTGTATTTTTGCCAACATACGCACTACATTATTTATTATATTAATGTTGTATAATGTAATACGCGCGCCCGCTGTGTATAGGCTAAAAAGTCGGTTACTGATCTGGGTCAACAAATATCTTGTCTACTAGAAATTGCATCAAATCCCATTTTCGGGATAAGCGATAGTAAATCGCAAATCCAAATGAATTTTGATAGCTGCAAATCAAATCTATCACTTGATGTCAACCTAGTTTTTGTATATAGAAACAGTGTTTAATCTCATTCCTTGCTTCGATTTAGCACATTTTATTTCAGCTTTGATTGATGAAAGAACTAACCTAACGGCAACTTACAAAATCTTTGAAGTTCTAGTCTAAAGCCGCTGATTGTAGAAAAATGTGCAAGTCCAGCTTCTACATGATATCCTATAGGATACAGGAAATTGTATGAAAATGTCAAAAGGCCCACGTGCGGAAGGGTGTTTCATGATTTAGCCTATACTCATGTTAAAACAGTGTGCTTTGGAATTTATTTTTGACAAAATCCAAAACACATATGTGGTTCTGATATCAATTGAAATAGCAAAAAAGCATAAAAAAGGTGTGAAGTGGCGGCCAAAGTCACCTTCGTAACATCAACGCTTAGACAATCAGAACTACGCGACCGCCCATCGCAAACATTTGTCACGCGTCGAGAAACATCGACCAGCATCTAGCAAGCTTCTATGAAAGCTCCGTGTCTGTGTGGAAGGCTTCTAGATTCTTCAAGTTGACGATAAATACACGCGCCGAGAGCGGGCAGGGAGAGTCGATGACAAGTCAGCAGCTCGAAACGCGGTAGTCTGGTCGACATGGTCATACATTTGTAACAAATTATTTTGCAAGTGTTGTAATAAATTAGTGTGACAGTAATGATTATGATGATAATAGTAATAATAATAATAATTTATTTATACCTTAAACACAATTTGGTAAATGAATAATGAGTAAGAAATATAAAAGACGGGTCCATAGGAGGCACTGCCCGTGCATGGACCATTAATGTTGCAATAGAATTAAAACATAAATACTGATACATCTCATCAACGAAACATTTGATGCCAATATTTAGTATTAACTTGTGTATGCCTAGCACTGCTAGAGAAAATAGCCATTCTTATAATTTTGTTTGCAATTATTCCCAAAGCCAAGGTTCTTTACATTGTCAGATAAAATTGTGTATAATATTGGACCTCAATAAAGGTCTGATCGCTGTGTTATAGATTTGTTACGTTTAGGTACTACCGTTTCTCGTATGTCTTGTATGGTGATTATGTTTGATTTTTTGGTTGTTACTAGTAAATTTGTGATAGTAGGTGAGTGCATGTAAGAGATAAAGTTGTTCAATATACTTGTATATGTTTGTATAAGACATCAGCAGGATATAATTTTTTGTTTTTAGAATCATTTTTTGGAAGAATTCTAAATCATAAATGAGTTGAGCATGTAGCTTCCCCATGCCAATATACCGTAGGTTAAATGTGGTTCGATCAAGGTATGGTATAGATATATTTCTCACTAAGAATACCTTTGAGGTATTTAATTTTATATGAGACCAATCTATCTTTTTTTTAAGTATATGAAATATGAGCATCCAAACACAAGTGTTGGTCCAGGAATATTCCACGGTGTTTTGTATCTGTAGACTTTAAATAAAGAAAACGGTGTTTTCGTTACAATACATATTTCTAAGCTGATGAAATACTGAATCCTATCAGCACAAAGCATGACGGCTTTAGCATAGTTCCATAGTTGCTTTGCCTCTCAATATTCATATATAATAATATATTTTTACATGAGGTCATACTTTTTGTCGGCTCCAGCTCTTTACCGTTTCAATAAGGAATAGTCGAATAGTTATCCTATACCTGCGTATAGCACCAGTTCTCGGCAACGGGCGTGTTAACCTCCTGTGGGGGTGGGCTGGGCACCCGGCTGACGGCCATCGTGCTTGTAGGGTGGTTCGGATGCTGCTGTTGCTGTTGAAGCTGTTGCTGTGCGGCCGCCGCAGCAGCCGCCGCAGCCGCAGCAGCCGCAGCTGCGGCCGCCGCCGTTACCCGACCGCCCGTCGACGACGACGAGGATGAGGAGGTACTACCGCTTGCGCTTGAAGCTGCTGCTGTCGCCGCCTGTTGACCGCCCCCGCTGCTGCTCGAACTATCGCTCACCCCCGGCAACCTAGAACAATACAAAACAGAACTAAATAAAAATCATAATAATGAACGACTTTTATTTTAGACGAAGTTTAGCTAAAAACTATTCCACCACTTAACTCTTGAAAATAACTAGTACTATTTCAACACTATTTCAACAAAATATTCGTCCAAAATTTAAACAAAAATTACACAGTAGTGTGAAGTAAGCAGGTGTTTTTTGTTGAACACAAATCTGAAACCGCCAGTTAACAGTTACATTTTATTTTATGCCTTATCGTTGATCACAGTAGTGCCTCTTAAGGAATAAGATACTCAATCTCGCACTCTTATCATCAAACAGCTGAACATATATTTATGTCAGAGCTGAAAGCGCTCCCTATTATGTTACATTTTAAACAAAAACAAAGAAACAAAATCGCACGTCAAACTTACTTCACTTTTGTGTTCAAGGATTAAAAAGTAACAGCTCGTGTCATTGTTACATTTAAGCAGCTTTAACTTATGGCTTTGCGTACAACCATACTTTTCCGGACACTTTATTCGGGTTTCCTCTTCTCCAAAAACTGACCCTAACAGCACGGAAAAAAACTACGAAATCAAATAAAATCTTTCATTGACAAATGATGCAAGAGACACCAAATAACAGATGCGCAAAACTGAGCCAGTTTTATCAAAGGAAAGCACTATAAGATTACGCGTGTTTGTAAGGTGAGACTAAAACACCACTCTGATACAATCATTATATTTTTACTGTCATTTACCGTACCATAAATTTCACCGGATTCAACAAGTGACATAATCATTCATACAATCATAAATTTTTATTTATAATCCTTTATATCAACTCAGCGCGACGACAAAAAGTGTAATAGAAAAAGAAACGAACATTCTGTTAGATAAAAGTACAATTACCAGGACTGAAATCTCCCACAATAATTGAATGGATGATATTTCATGAAATCTAGGCGAATTGAAAAGATTAGAAATCGTACGAAATAAGTGCTTTCAACGCCAGTGAAAGTACACTCACAGGCGTGAGTAATTTTCAATATGCGTTGTAACATTCTACGCACAATAGCAAGGAAACAGTGACACGGAAGATTTAAAAACACTCATCAGACACATTCGTTTTTTGCATAAATTAATTGCAATGTTAAGAGTAATTCCAAGGTCTATGACATGGCATGGAAATTCATTTCATAAACATTTTTCGCTTTTGTACGAAATTGATAATACGGGTAATAAATAATGTGCTATATTTTGAGATATTCTATTTGCATTAATATGTTTCAAATTCGACACTCACCGATGGAATTACGGAAATGGTAAGAGATACGAAATGGCTTGAATGGGGGCAAAGATGCGAATTTAGGTAACTAACAACATGCCGCTAAGAAAGTTTTGAAGTTCAAAGTACTTCCGGGGAGAAACGGAAAAACGTTTTTTTTTTTTACATAAAATCGTTTTAATCTCTTCCTGACTTTATTTGTAGTGGGACCTCAAAATAAATTGCACTTGCCACTTTTTCTCCTTTACAAGATGGTATAATTGGATTTTCAATATGACGTGTCGCCTCTTGTCCTCCAGCATCACATTTATTTTTTCTTATGGACGCCGTATTGGATTTTTGCAAAAATGAATAATATACTAATTCCAAAAATATATAATAAAAAAATGGCAATAATATGCAATTTATTTTTAAATCTCATTACAAATAAAGCCAGGAAATCCGGGTTTTTCCGACTCTCTTCGTAAGTACTCGTACTTTGAATTTTGAAACTTTTTAAGTGCCATTTTGTTATTTACCCAAATACGCAACTTTGCGCTCATTTAAGCGACTCCGTAGTTCATACCGTTTCCGAGATCCCAATGGTGAGAGTTGGACCTGAAACACCTGGAATAAAATCCATATTTTTAATTTCCGAAACACAATGCCGTTGAGAATTTCGACATATTTAATAGAATTTCAGCATCAGCTTATCAATAAAAAAATCATACTTCTTGATGAATTCAGCTATAAATAACATAAAATATAAAAATCGGATCCCAGGGCTCTCTGCACACATCAAGAAAATAATGCAAAAGATATACAACGCAATTTTAGTGTGGCTTTATAATCCTTACTATTGAAATAGCTTAATTTATTGATATTATGGTATTAAACAGGGTGCGGCGTCTGCCATGTAACTGATCATCTATCTAATTTCCATATAAAATTAGAAGGTATTAGAGGCGTCAGCAGATTAACAGTTTACTGAGTATTCATACTTATGTAACTAAGCTCGAACCTATGAGGGTTACAAATCATAAGTTGGTACGTTATCATCACCAATATATCAATACTGACATTTTTATCCACGACATCATGCTTTGAGAAAACATCTTTAAGGTTTACCATTTTTCAATATAACAGACGCATGGGATGAAATAGGTAAAATAAATTTTAATAAAAGGCCGTCCAATAGCTAAGGAACTAAGGGATATCACCACTGTAACTGCTTGAAAAAATAGTTTTTTTTTCAACTTTTTGGTGTAAATAAAAGTAAGAAAACAATAATATCTAATGAAGGAAAAACCATTATAAAAAATATTCAAACATGTCGGCACAGCAGCCATTTTTGCGAGGCACATAGAATTTGAGAAAAAACAACTTATTGTTCATGTTTATAGCTGAAGACATATGTAGGCGAATTTCAAAATACTGCTTTTTGTGTGGTTGGTGAGTACTCAAATAAAATGTTCTATTTTAGACCAAAAAAAAGGTAATAATTTATTCTTAAATAATGACTGAAGCAGCTCATAGAAAATTCCCTCAGTACTCTTCAAAATTTTATTTTAAGATATTGCAAAAAAATCGAATGAAAATAATATTTGTTCGAGTTATGCTGTGTGCGGTTTTGAAAAATCGCGTGCAGTCATTTTTGATTATTTTTTTATAATACATACTTTGCTCCTGTATTATTATTTTATCGCCATTTCTTCCAACAAAAAAAAAATAAATTACCAAAAATACATTTTTTCGGTGACAGGTAACAAACTGTCACTTTTTATGAAATTATTTTTTTCCCGGATATTGTATAAACGAATGAGCTGGCAATAATTCTTGTGAGGCTACTTTGGCTACTTCTACTAATTCCGGTGGAGTCAAAGAAAACTCAGAATCAGACATTTTTTACTTTATAGTATTAAAAATAAGTTCTAGAAAACCACTAAATCAAATCATAAAATTAAATTGACAGCTATTTGATGACTTTAAAAGTTTCCTCAGCAACGCAGGTCTAATTGTCGTAAGTACAACATAGCCTACTAATTTCAAAATTCAAATTTCACATCGATAATTTTCTAACTTAAATATTGTAATAATACAATATTTCAATATTAAATCGTCGTTTTTGCAGTCACAGAAAAAATTGTGTATTATACACGGGAAAATACTAGATCTACTAAAAATCTAGTACTTTTTTCCTTGTGTAATAAATAACTATTTTTAGACCGTTTCAGTGGTGTTACCCCTTAAGAAAATAAAACATAGTTAAGGAGCTTCAAAAGTTCATTGACCAGAACATATGTTGATAGTATCTTCACCACACCAGGTTGAGGAATACCTAAAAGTGGTATCGTGAGCAGGGTGTTTTGTCTATAAGGGGCTGGTTGCAGCTGTTGTCAATATGACCGCCTGATGTGGGTTTTTAAATGATTTTCAACCGGATGTGGTGATTAATCATTTTATCGTAGAGGTACATTTGTAAAAAGCCTCACACCCGATCCAAAAAGTGTTCTGAAACTAGCATTGTACGAGGGATGTCTTTTAAGTTTTGCATATGGAAATAAAACAACACGGTAGGTAATTTTAAATGACTTTATTGTTTTTCGAAGTATTTTCCATGAAGATTAATACACATCTGCATGCGCTCTAACCAATTTTCGAAGCACTTATTCCACTCGTTTGCTGGCAGATCCAAAACGGCATTTTTGAATGCGTCAAGTGCTTCTTCTGGTGACTGGAACATTTGACCACGCAGTCTGTTTTTAACTTTTGGGGAAAGTAAAGAAATCGTTAGGACTTAGATGGGGACTATATGGAGGATGGTCCAATAATTCCACGTTTTCTTCCGTTAAATACTGCCTTGTTTTTTAGGCTGCGTGCGAGCTTGCATTGTCTTGGTGGAGGATGATTCTTCTTTCGGGGTTGATTTTTCGAAGCTCGGTGATGACACAAATGTCGCGACCATCTTTTTCGAAACACTACGAGAACGGATGACTTTTGTTAGCTTTTCTTCACCTTCACCCAAACAGCCGACTGTCGTTTATTTTCTGGTTCATAACAGTAAATCTACGATTCATCACTACTAACAATGCTGTACACATTTTTTGAGTTTCCGGAATTGAAACAGTCAAGCGTTGTTTGACACCAATTAACCCTGACTGCTTTCTGCTCTTCACTCAACAGGTGGGGTATCCAACGAGAGACTGATTTTCTTACTCCTAATTCTTCATGTAAAATTTTTTGAATGGAAGTCTTTGAGTTCTTCAAGGACGCCTCAATCTCGCGATATGTCACATGTCTATCTTCAATGATGATTTTGCGCACAGCATCGACGTTTTCCTGGGTGACTGCCGTTTTTGGTGCACCCACCCTGGGATCGTCGCTAAGACTCACCCGTCCACGTTTCAATTCTCCATACTAACGGAAATTGTCGACTGATGTGGCGCTTTGTTGCCGAAAACAGACAGTAACTCAGGAAAGCATTCTTGTTGCGATAATTGTCTCTGAAAGTTGTTATAAATTATGCCGCGAAAATGTTCTCGGTTGAGTTCCATTTTTCTAATGACTTGGTGTCACTTAAAAATTCACTGTAGTGAGAACACTGCACGTATTGTTGTGAAACTTTGAATATAAGTTTACTAAAGAGTGAGGTTAAGATTCAGTACTGACGTTCGATCGGCGCGGTCTACTATGTTTCTATATGCAAAACTGAAAAGCTTCTTCGCGTTTCGAGACAAACGACAGACAGAAAGACC